CCAAACTCCATGCTGAAATGCAGTGATAAGCCCTCCGCAAATTTCTACGAAAGAAACTCCCATCCATATAGGTCCCAGAATTTTCACTAGGAAATAATCCCATAGGCCTAGCTCCACAAACTCGACAGTTTCCTTCTCCAGCTTGGACAGAGAGTACCACGGACTCCCTGTCCAAGCTGGAGAAGTCCTGGGAGCAGACTGCATGCATGAGTGTTCCCGTCACTTGCTCCTTATAATGCAGCAACCCGCTGATGTGCTCAAAATCACGCTCCTCCTGCTCCGTATCTGACCAAATCTTATCCAACTGTCTGTTCCCCATATAACACGGGGGAAATTCTCCACACACGGTTCCCGCGCTGACTCCTGCTGAAGCATTCTGTTTGCCAGGATTATGAACTTATACTTTCCCACTTGCTTTATTGGAGCTCCTTGGAAGCATCCATTTGCCTCCACTAGCTCCACAATCAGTTTCTTACACATATATTGATAGATGACATCGGAGCGGCGGAATAGAAAGGTATCATTTTCCACCCTGTGTGGAGCAGCCAAACCAGGTTCCTTAACATTCAGTGCACAGACTACAGACTTGCCCAGTGCTTCCTTGCGCCCTTCTATCACCTCCAGCTTAAACCTCAGGAACAAGGAGAGTGATCTAATTTCAGCCGCATAACTCACGTCCTGAGCCTGGATTTTCTCTATCTTGGTTTCCTCTGCCATATCTGATGACCTCACTAAAATAATGTCTTTCACATTGGTAGAGAATGCTTTGTACCCTCCGCAGGGTATAGGCAAGGCATATCCACCTTTCAGTTCATAGAAGAGCTCGTTCTCCGTGGACGCAAAGTAGTGTGGAGCCAGTAATCCTTGCACTTCTCTAATTTTCTTGTAGGTACAGCTGTCCGCCGGTTGACTCCAGGTGTAGGTGTGCAAAGCTCCTACACATCCCATGGACGGACCTCTCGGGTTGCAACCCAGGAGCTCCGAGGATGACATAGCTCTAATCTCAGATCCTTCTACTGTAAACATCTCAGTCTCAATTGTCACTACATACTCCATATGCGTAACAATGCCCTTCTGGATCGACCCGTCAATCAATATGTCCGTACCCTGGCACCTTATCTCCGAGTTTGAGGTGGTTTGGAACCCGGCGGAGAACTCCATGATGTAGGTTCACCCAGGAACCACTAATGTCTCTGTCTTTCGCCCCTGGGGAGTTACAAACTGGCGGGTATGCGCCATTTTGGCGCAAGATTGGGCGGTAATCACTAATGTTTGTTCTTGTTCTGCACTAAGGATGGGTTTACTATAACTAAACATCCCACAATAGTACATATTATGGTGGGAGGATACCTGACATTTGTAACCTTCCACCGTCTGTGAATTCACGTGTTGGAGGATTGAGACCTTCTCCGGCACTCCTTCAACCTCCGGGTTAAACCTGCAGTGGGCCTTGCGGTCAAACATCTTGATGTTCATAGGCTGGGAGCAGTCCTAGGCCTCCACCTTGTACACGTCCTTGGCCATCACCTGCCCTCCCAGCACTGCCAGCATGCCTACAAACAGCAGCTGGCTTACTCCTTTGCTCCTTCTCCCTTGATGACGGGCTGCCTGCTTTCGTACTTCACCATCAGGCTGATCAACTTCCCCACGCTCTCTCCTTTCTTCACCTGAACAAAGATATCATTATTATGGTTGATCATGTAAATTGCAGGTGAACGTAACACTCCTGCCCTGGGGGAAAATTTGGAAGCAAAAAGATTTTTTTTGATAATAGTGTTAAACAAGATTGGAAAAATGAAATCATTCCCACTGACTTGCTCAGGTTCTTCTGTTAAATAAACCCATGCCCCTTGCCCAGGGTGAAGTGTTACAGAATTTTTCACTTTAGCAATTTTAGATTTTTGACCTGAAATTGTATTAATTCCTTCCTTAACTTTATTGCTACTTCTGTCTGCTTCATCCTCAGTGTCACTCTAACTACTTTCATCTGCTCCTTGCACATAACTACTCTGGTTTGCTACTTTATACCTAGTCCTGACACTACTTCTTATGCTACTACTTTTCTTAATACTCCCTGTCTGCACCCTCTCTAGGGATGCAGCTCTTGTCCTGGTGGAGCTAGAACTCTCTCTTGATTTGCTCCTTCTTCTCAACAGTGCTGTAGAGTCTGGCCTCTGTGCCCAGCTCTCCTTAAGTGCTGCTTTCAGTGACTTCAGGGATGATGCTATTGATGATTTTGTTCCTCTCCTGGATCTGGGGTTCTCTGGTAGCTTGAACTCTGCACTGTATCTATCTGTAGGAACTGATTTTCTGCTGGATCTTCTCCTGGTATCTTCAGTAGTAGTGCTGCCATCTAACAGCCTTGGTTCTTCATCATTGGCAGTAGAGTTTGCTGCTTCATCAATCTGGCGAAGGGGGATATTTATTCTTTCTGTTATTTCCTCTCCTTCTCTAGTTTTCTGCTCCTCTTGTCTTCTTGTGGGGGTGTTTATTTCTGTAGGTTCATCATTCCCCTCTTCTGGTTCATTATTATCTTCGTTTTCTGGTCTTCTTGGTTCTGGAGTTTTTTCTGGTTCTGGTTCTGGGATCAGGTTGGCTGCCGACCCCGTTACTCCGTCATCTTCTGCTGGTGAGTCTTGAAGCATCTCATCTAGCAGTTCATCCTCCACTTGAAAGTGTTCATCAAACAATTCGTCAGGGCTGCTACCATTGGACCGAGTTGAGCTTGGTGACTGGATAAACGACTGGAACTGGACATTTTCACTGTCTTCTGAACTTGCATCAATACTTGATCTTGACAAATTCTGAGGGATTACAGAGGGTTCTGACGAGATGCTGCTGCGGTGATCCCTCCCCTTGTGATGAACTTCAGAATTTTCAGAATGAAATTCATCGATAAGCTCAGCATCGAGTTGTCTTGCTGGAAGCTCGAACTCTGATAACTCCTCTGCTAGATCTTTGACTGCTTCAGCTGGTAGTCTGGGAACTTTGAACAGGGGGTTAACATCCNGTGGTTACAGTATCCCTCCCAAACACTGAAACCCTCCAAAACTCCCTAAAGCTACCAACCCACCCTCCTTATTGTAAGAATACAAGTAAGAATGAATTACTTTGCATACATGCAAAACTAAACATTTCTCTGTATATATATCTATTTAATTATTTATAAACTTTAGAAGGTTTTGAATTCTATTACACTGCAATACAACATCTTGCTGTTGTGTCTAAACAAAGTCTTGATGTTATGAGAATGGATTTTTATTCCATTCAGTATTTACTTTCAATTTTTTCTTAAAGATATCCTCCTTTTACCCAAAACACAAATTCCAGAAAAAATCTAAATGTAGGAAACATTTACTTATAGTAAATATCTATACATCCAATTAATGATTAAATCATAGTTTAAAAAAAGTATTTCTATTTCTTTTACTATTTTTATCACTAACAACAATTATTCTGTTGGTTAGTTTTATCATTTTCTTTTTCTAGAACGAAATTGAGTTTTTGCCACAAACTTAAATTTTCCAATACCTATATCTTTGCAAAATGATGACGTAAGCCTTTGATATTTCAAACTATGAATTCAGTTAGACAGAATAATCTAAGTTTAAAATATCCTATGTTTACACTATCAGGTTGAAAAGATATAGGAATTTGAAAATTTGAGTTTGTGACAAAAACTCCTTCCTTTGTGCACTATTTCTGGTAGGACTTAATTACCCCGTAACTCCATAAGATTTAATTTTACACCCAAGAGAGGGTAAAAATTAACTTTGCTGCAGCTATATGGACTTCAAGACTTTATTGCAGCTATATGGACTTCAAGACTTTGTTGCAGTTATATGGACTTCAAGACTTTGTTGCATGCTATATGGACTTCAAGACTTTGTTGCAGCTATATGGACTTCAAGACTTTGTTGCAGCTATATGTACTTCAAGACTTTGTTGCAGCTATATGGACTTCAAGACTTTATTGCAGCTATATGGACTTCAAGACTTTGTTGCAGCTATATGGACTTCAAGACTTTATTGCAGNTTTGCAAAATATTAAATGTAAAATGTGCAAGTAAATTACAAAATATCAACAAAACTTACTAAAATTTCGTGTTTTCAAGTATCTGCACCTTGTAAAATGTGACATCTGTTGAAAGCCGTAAAATAAATGATCTTTTTTATTTGAGAAAAGTATAGTGTGCTATAGTGCTAATGATACCCTTCTTTGCACTAATAGAGACATCAAGCAAGAAAAAGAGAAAATGAATTATCACAATTTGAAGTAAAAATGATTTATTAAGATATGTAAATTGTACAGGATGAAACTGTACGGAATTTATTTCCTAATATTTATGACTCAATGCAACTCTCAACTTTTTCTTTTTTTTGCCAAATCATTAGAAAAGTCATTTAAAGACTATATTATTGGGAGAAGACTTATTTAGCCTTGAAATCGTCCTATATTTTTCAGGTCGTCTTTACCGTCTCAATCTTTGTGGGTAACCCGTACAGTATCATATCTAATAAATGTATCTGACATCATTATTCATCCTTTATTTTTATTTTGTTTAGTTTAATTTTGTTGGTAAGCTGTTGGGACCAAAAGGGAACTCGTTGAAGCGTCTGCAGGAGAACACGAATACCAGGTAGGGAGGGGGTTTAATGTATATAAGCGTCTCCAGGAGAACACGAACACCAGGTAGGAAGGGGGTTTAATGGATATATATAAGGGTCTCCAAGAGAACACGAATACCAGGTAGGGAGGGGAAATAATGTAGAAGATATTGTCGTTTTTACGTGTTTTTATGTTTTTTACTTCCTGCAGTAGAATTGCTCAATTCACTTTTGTGGTGAAGCCACAATTGAAAATAATCAGTTTTAAAATCAAATGCAGTAATTTCTAATTCATAGTTGATCACAGCTTTTAATTATACCGTTGTGAAGGGGGCTGATGCCATCTTTGCAAGGAGGGTTACTTGAAATAACGCTTACATTCCATTTAAAATTAAAAATGACAAATGGAATTTTGCTGCAGAGTCCGGCATGTTGTAAGTCGACTTTTAGACTCAAGTTATGAGTATGATTCATAATAATAATTCATTTAATAACTTACTAGTCAAACTTTTTTCTTTGTAACAACATCGAATGTACTTCAGTATTACTGTAGTTGATAAAATATATTCAATTTTCCATCTTTTTGGTAGTGTCATAATCTTGGGTGTAATGCAATATTTTCCTGAATTTTGCATGTAGGAGATTAGAGGTTATATCTTTATAAAGTTAGTGTGTAATCAAGCTGTACAGGATAAAAGAATAAAGTTAGTGTGTAATCAAGCTGTACAGGATAAAAGAATAAAGCTTACTAGGATTTGAGAACGTCAAATAATGAAGGTTAATGATAAAACGGGGTTAGATAGTGCTTTATTTTACGCGAAAACGGGAAAAAGAAATAAACATGAAAAATGGAAAATAGAGAAATTAAAAGTGGGTTAGGAAATTGCAAAAGATTGGATTTTAGAAAAAAAACCGAAGATTTTTTTTGAAAGGTACGTGGAAGTAATCATTAGAAAAAAAACTATCGTTAACACGTTTTAACAGTGCTAGATTTTCTATTGTAAACATAAAAAGATAATTTCTAACTCGTCTGTGATGTAGAAATATACACGATAATCCTAATATAGAAGTTGTATCCGGGGTTGCCGACTTCATACAAAAAATAACATTACGCTGAAACTTTTAACTTCAAATAGAGATGAAATTTGATTTATTTAGAAATGAATTTTAACGTTCAAAGTTCCTCATTAAATAGAGATTAAGTCAGAGACAAAAATGAAACTTATTTTTCAAAACTGTAAAATTATTTATTTCTGATTTTTTAGAATGGCAATCTTCGGCAAAGGAAGCATGAAAACAAGAAAACAGGTTTTTTTTCTTTAATTTTTTTTTTATAAAAATCTAACTTTTTGAAAACATGCAGCTCTGGTTCAATATGAGGAAACTTGGATTATTAAATCTAATATTTTTATACTTTAAACTTCAAGTTTACACAGTTTAAAGTTCAAAGTGTAGTTTAAGTATAAATTACATAAAAATTAAATTTAAATAACTTTCAGGGGACTTTAAAACAAATTTCCATCCTCACCTCTAAAGGCTTGATAAGCTCGCTATTTAAAAATTTCCCTACACTTGATCCTAGAAACATAGTAAAAAAACTTTAACATTTTTTTGATGTATTTTATAATCTGTGTTTCCTGAAACTCTCCTGATAAATTTTAAAACAGCAAACATGCATTTCCTTTCTCAAGAAGTAAATAATTAATTAGTTAATTAATTAATTATCTGTCAGGAACTGATGTTACTTAACTCTGGGGACCCTAAATACAAACACCTGGAAGACGATCTTCATGTAGAGATATCCTGCTTCGGGCCGCCAGTAGAGGTTAGTTCAGGGTCATCTTGTACCGTTTCGCCTTGGTTCACAGTGCGTGGTCGTTCAGGGTTATGTTGTACCGTACTCCGTCTTGGTAAACAGTGAGTGGTCTTATTATTATAGTGTTATCTTGTACCGCTCAGTATTGGTACACGGTAAGTGGTTGTTCAAGGTAATCTTGTACAGTACCGCCTCGGTCGACTACAGTGAGTGGTCGTTCGGGGCTTGGTTCAGGGTTATCTTGTACCCTTCAGTCTTGGTACACAATAAGTAATTGTTCAGGGTTATCTTGTACAGTTACGTCTTATGTACACAGTGAGGGCACACCGAGAATTGTTTAAGGGACATCTTGTACCCTTTAGTCTTGGTACAAGATTAGAGTGGTCATTAAAATACATCATTTGCCGTTTCGTTTAGTAGACGAAAGGATTCGTGCACAGACATATTGATATTCTTCAGTCTTGTTAGATAATGAAAGTAGACATCTTGTACCTTTCCGTACTGGTCCAAAGTGAGTGGTTGTTCACGCTCAGCTTGTACCATTCAGTCTTGGTTCAAGGTAGGTAGTAATTCAGGGTCATCAGGTAGCGGTTCGTCTTTGTTCAAGATGGATAGTCGTCCAGGGTTATCAGGTACAGGTTCATCTTTGTTCAAAACGGGTAGTCGTCCAGGGTCATCAGGTACCGGTTCGTCTTTGTTAAAAATGGATAGTCGTCGTCCAGGGTTATCAGGTACAGGTTCATCTTTGTTCAAAACGGGTAGTCGTCCAGGGTCATCAGGTACCGGTTCGTCTTTGTTCAAGATGGATAGTCGTCCAGGGTTATCAGGTAAAGGTTCATCTTTTTTCAAAACGGGTAGTCGTCCAGGGTCATCAGGGACCGGTTCGTCTTTGTTCAAGATGGATAGTCGTCCAGGGTTATCAGGTACAGGTTCATCTTTTTTCAAAACGGGTAGTCGTTCAGGGTCATCAGGTACCGGTTCGTCTTTGTTCAAGACGGGTAATTTCAGACCCATCATGTACTGTTCCATCTTAGTTCATGGAGGGTAGTCGGTTAGGGTTATCTTGTATCATTCCGTCTTAGTTCTTGATGGGTAGTCATTAAGGGTCATTATGCATTGTTACCGCTTGGTACACAGGCGAAAATTATTCAGGGGCATATTGTAGAATGACCATTGCGTTTTATATCTTAATGTGAAGTCATTATTCGGAACATATTGAGATTCATACCTAAACAGTTTTTTCCTTCCATGCTACCATTCTTTATCTTTTTATCAGTTCGTTCAGTTTTCATTGTATTATTCAAAAATTAAGTTTCATATATAAGATGAAATTTTTAAAACAGAAAACGCCTTTTTGATAGATTTTATAATTATTTCCTGTTCTTAACGTCTATACAAATGTTTGTAATATTATTTTTTTTTATGAAAATATTCGGAGAATAACTAATTATAACTGTAAGAGACGTGGTAAGAAATAATGAGGATGGGATTTCCAATGCATACTTCTTATTTATCTTATATATTTTTCATAACATGAAAAGAAAGAATTCATTTATTAGTTTTTTATTGTTATTAACATTTCAACCTTAACATAGTATGTCTATTAAGAAATATTAATATAAATGGAATAAGAAAGAAAAACTATTTTTTTGTGTATAGGCTTAAGCAATATAAAAAGAATAATTCCTCTGGCTTTGTCCCGATTCTTAAGCATCTTTTTAACAGAATTATACAAAGAGAATGGATGAAGTAGGGGTTTTCTAAAGACTGCTATACACAAAAAGAGTTAAGATTGAAATAGAGAAAAAAGCATAACATGAGGATCAAAATTTGGAATAATCTAACAAAACTGTTTCAGTACCTCTTTATGTTAAACTGTACTGCAAGAGTTTTGTCAGGTTTTTCAAATTTTTATCTTGAAGTTAAGTTTGTTTAATACAAATTTCAAAATATAATAGCTCTTCAGGATCAGACAGTACCTTTATATATAAACTGTACATGTTCAGGTTTACAGGAATATATCTACAGCTCTACAATATATCAGACAGTACCTTTACTTATTAAACTTTACATGTTCAGGTGTACATGAATATATCTACAGCTCTACAATACATCAGACAGTACATTTACGTATTAAACTGTACATGTTCAGGCGTACAGGAATATATCTACAGCTCTACAATATATCAGACAGTACCTTTACATATTAAACTGTACATGTTCAGGTGTACAGGAATATATCTACAGCTCTACAGGAGATTAGGCAGTACCTAGTACCAGACTGCAACGACGTCATCAGGAAACAGCACTTATTATAAAAATGAAAACCAAAAATATAGAATCGGGTAATAACAACAAATGAAGAAGATACAGTAATTGTTCTTAAAATTTGATTTATTTGATCTCTGTAACTTTAAGCAATGCCAGTTTTCAAGTGTTTCTCATACAGTGGCAGACAATGGGGGTGGCAGGGGGGGCTCAGCCCCCGCCCCCTCTGTAAAATCTGTGGTTTCAAGGGGGTTTTCAGGCCTCAACAGGTGTTGAGCCCCTCTTGGAAAGAAACAATAACCCTCCCCTCTATGGCAAATGCCTGTGCACGCCCTCGATATCAAATATCAAGATTAAAGAAACTCTAATCTATGAGAGAGGAAGTGAGAAACAGAAGATTAGATTTATAGATACAGAGTCGGTTGTAAACTTTATAATTGATCTTACACACACCAGCACCAGGGCAAAATCAGAAAATCTGAAAAAATGTTGTTTTCTCATGTTCAATTTTTCCCTTCTTGTTTCAAGTAAAAAGTTAGATGAGAAAAAAGTAAAGAACCTTGTTTTGTTTTAATTTTCGTATAAGAGAGGGGAAAGTTGTTATTTAGAAAATAAAAAGAATAATGTTTGTTTTAAAGGCAGCAACAGAGGGTAGAGCTTACTCAGATAGATGTTCACAGGTATAGTTGTGGGGGGGGGGGAGTTAAACTTTATGGGGATTTAAAGAAATGTAGAACGTGGCTAAAAATCCAATTTTGATAACGACATTCCGAAATGAGTTAAACTGGTCTTTGCTCTCTAGCTTTATGACTATCACTGCAAAGATTGCTTTGAAGAGAAGAGAGAGGGTTTATAAGAGAGGTAGAAATCAGAGGAAAGTTAATATACAATATTAGAAGCGCAACTAATCATAACTTATATTAGCAAAAAGGTTTTGTAAAACTTCGATATTTCTTCCAATTTGTTGCAGTAAGGTTCACATCCTCCACAAATCAGGATTTAATTATTTTTTCATTTTCCCTTTTCCTAAATGTCATGAAAAGATGTTCTCCTTCTTCTTGACAATACATCAGTGTCTGGCAACTTATAATAATAATTATTTATTATTGAGAACAGAAATAATAGAAATACGAACATAGGAGAAATAAGAGAATGGAAGAACATAGGAGAAAATATAAAAAAGGAGATCAGAAGAACATAGGAGAATAGAAGAACATGTGTGAAAATAGAAAACATAGGACAATGGAAGAGCATAGGACAATAGAAGAACCATATGAGAATAGAAGAACATAGGAGAATATAAGAATATAGGAGAATAGAAGAACTTAGGAAACTAGAAGAACATAGGAGAATAGAAGAACATAGGGGAATAGAATAATTTAGGAGAATAAAAGAACATAGGAGAATAGAAAAAACATAGGAGAATAGAAGAACATAGGAGAATAGAAGAACATAGGAGAATAGAATATTTTAGGAGTATAAAAGAACATAGGAGAATAGAAAAAACACAGGAGAATAGAAGAAAATAGGAGAATAGAAAAAAACATAGGACAATGGAAGAGCATAGGACAATAGAAGAACATAGGACAATAGAAGAACATAGGAGAATATAATAACATATGAGAAAAGAAGAACTTAGGACAATAGAAGAACATAGGAGAATAGAAGAACATAGGAGAATAGAAGAGCATAGGACAATAGAAGAACATAGGAGAATAGAATAATAAATGAGAATAGAAGAACTTAGGACAATACAAGAACAAAGGAGAATAGAAAAAAGTATAAGAATAGCAGAACTTAGGAGAATAAAAGAACATACAGTGAAACCCTTAACAACGAATACATCGGAAAAATTTATCAAATGTTGTCTTGACAATTTTTCAATGAGTTTTATATTATATTTCGTAAATTTCAGTATTTGCGAAAATAAATAAATAGCCATGAATATGCGGGAACAGTTTTAAAGAGTTCCATATAATCATTTAATTAAAAAACTTAATATCTGAAACATTCTATTATCAGAAAGTGAAGAATACGACATTTGATCAATTCTTCAGATGTATTCGTTATTAAGGGTTTCACTGTAGTAAACATAGATGAATACAAGAGAATGAAATAGTAAATAAATATAAGAAACGAATGAGAAAAATATAAGATGGTTAGAAAAGTTTTAACAAAGTAATTATTTGCAGAGAATGCAGAGAGAAGAGTAAAATTATTTTAATTGCATCTGGGTAGGGGGNAAGATTTTCTGACAGGAAATACAAACACAATCTGAAAGTCGACTCAATCATCGCAATGAAAAGGATTTAGTTTTAACATTTTCAACATTTTTCCAAATTTTCAAATTTTATTCCTGCTCTCAGGGAATACAGTAGTTTACTTTTTACACTTTTAAGTTCGTGACTAAAGGGGAGGTAATTTTGTGATTTAATTTTTAGGAATTTCTTGAGAGCGGATCTTCGCCCTTATACCAGCAAATAAAACTTTTCAAAATTTAATAATGACATAAAAAAATGTTTTAAAAAAGTTTGAGCATCTTATTCCAGCGCTAAAGATAAAGAAAAATGTTTAGTTTTTATTTTTCTATTCTAATGTTTGGAGGTTCATAGGTAAAAAGATTTGGTCATTTTTGGTTTATCCTAAGGTTTTGACACTTTTAATTATATTTCTTTAGGGATTGCAGTTCTCCAGTCTGAGTCAGCTTCAGTAACTAAATGAGGACCTCAATATTCACATTTACCTATATTTACAATTTACATGTCAGTTTGGATTGTACATGTAACATGTTTTACACTGTACAAGACCTATTCATTTCTGAGTAAAGTTTTGTCTATTTTCAAACATATTCTAGTTATATGTACAAGCTTTACTCTTCGTAATGGATTGTACAAGGACTTACACATTGTAGAGAACAATACATTAAACGTTCAATGTAATGGGTTGTTTTACACTCTTAAAGGGACTGTTAGCGTATTTTCAAGTGACCCTCCATTGGTAGTGTGGCATGTCCGATTCACAATGGTATCCTGTAAAAGCTAAGAATATAAATAAGTATAAATTAGATGGTTGTTTTTGAAAAGTAATTTTTTCATTTGTGGAAATGAGTCTTTGCCACAAACTCAAATCTTCTAATCCCTATATCTTATCAATCCGATGGTGCATACATTTTATATTTCAAACTTACATCATTTGATCGAACAGAATTCATAGCTTGAAATAACTAAGGTCTACGACAATGGGTGGCAAAGATATAGAGATTTGAAACTCAGAGTTTGTGGCAAAAACTCAATTTCTTTAAGCATCTCTGCATCTCTTAATTAACAGAATTAAAAACTTTTCTAGCGACTGGTCGATCTGATTAAGGTTTCCAGGGTAGGGAACGGGTTGTGAATCTAGAATGTCCCTTTTTTACTTAAAAATAAAACGAAAGTCCCTTAAGATGATTTTGAATGTTTTACATGTCTTAAAGAATTGTATATATTTTACACGTGAAAAAAATTTAAAGATTTACATGTACAGTAAACTTGTAACTAAATGTAAACGTTGTGATTCAGTGTTTTCTAGGTGTACACTATCTTAATAAAAAAATTCTTTTTTGGATTTTGAATTATGCATTACTTACATCGGATATTATTAAAAAGTAAAAAAACGAACAGAGAAGAAACATGAATTGTATATATTTCTTTCAAGACAATGGGTAAATGTTGATAAAGAGATATTTATTGTTTTTTTTTTCAAATTCACAGCTGCATTTAAAAAAACTCTAAGAAAAAAAACTAAAATTTTTTAGCTCAAAACTAGAACATTAAACATGAGAATTTTACTGCAGTTCTTCAATTATCATTAAGAGAAATTTTCATCTTTTAAAAATATATAAAATATATATATCAGGAAAATTTTTTTCTGTAAAAAAAGAGTCTGTAAATATAAAGACCACGGAAAATCTAAGAAAATGAATGGATAAAGAACAAAAATGAAGAGAAATGAAGATATTTTTATCTCAACATTTATTTGAAAAACATGGTTTCTATTTCAAAATTGTTAACATGAGCTCAACATGTAAAATTTAACTTTTACATAGTACAAAAGTATGAGAAGATGTGTTCATTAGAGAGGGGTGGGACTAAGGAAGTAAGGAAGAAAGGGGGGAGGGACTAAGGAGGGAAGGAGGAAGGAATGTTTAAGAATGTCCCGGAATGTCAGCAAAGTAAAGAATTGATGACCTGTCACTTGTCGGTCAACACACACTGCCCAGACCAGGTATATTCATTGTATGCAGTTTTAGAAATTAGTGGCGCTCCCTACCCTTGTAATCAGAATTTTTCCTTTGTATTCATATTGTAATGATTATTGCTACTATCGATTACAATTTCGGGTTTTCGAAATCAATCATTTGCTTCGTTTAGAGAAAGAGCGTGAACAAATGTCTTTCTCTTGGTCCCTGTACTTCTTTTCATAAATCCCATTTATGCTCTCTTTTAAATATATCTCGCAGAGTATGAATGAATGTGATTTATCAGCTTTTCAGTTTCCTATGTGTTTGTAGAGGTCCACACTTCTTCTTGTTGCAGTACGTTAGCTCTCAGTCCGCATATAAATTTCTCGAGTATATTTAGCTCTTCTAAGGTTTCCGCCAATCCAGCCTGTGGTTCCAGAAATCCAGCCTATGGTTCCGGAAATCCAGCCTATGGTTCCGGAAATCGAGCCTGTGGTTCCAGAAATCCAGCCTGTGGTTCCAGAAATCCAGCGGAAGCATGACAAACCATAGAAGATCATGAGTTCGGAGCTGTTTCTCCATGGTTGCAATCCTCTGTCTAGTCTGGATATACTTCCGATTTGCATTCTTCAATTCCTCTCTTTCAGGGAACTCTTCGATTAACTGTTCCAATTACGTGTCAGTCTGAGCATCTTCCACAATCTCAATATCTTGTTGATATCCTTTAGCTGCTCCAGTTCAGCATCTATCTAGGCAGCTTCCTTAACTTGATATCTCGTTTAGCTGCTCCAGTTCCGTATCTCTTACACTGCAATCCTAGCTGCTACTCCAGCTGCTCCTAGAGTCTTTTCTATGTTAGCTGTTCATTACCGGAGCTGCTCCTAGAGTCTCTGCTGTTAGCTGTTCATTAACGGAGCAGCTCCTAGAGCCTTTGTTATGTTGGCTGTGCATTACCGGAGTTGCTCCTAGAGTCTCTACTATGTTAGCTGTGCATTGCCGGAGTTGCTTCTAGAGTCTCTACTATGTTAACTGTGCATTACCGGAGTTTCTTCTAGAGTCTCTACTATGTTAGTTGTGCTTACAGTTTGAGCTGCTCTCAGAGCTATCCCTAAAGTCTCTGCTATGTTAGCCTTACTTACAGATTGAGCTGCTCCCAGAGCTATCCCTAGAGTATCATCATGCTTTAAATATTACAAATATTTCTAATTTTTCTCTAAGAATTTAAAGCAGCAAATACTCGGAAAAGTATACCTACTCAAAAACCAAAACCTAACTCAAAATACTGGCAAAGACTATTGGCATGGAGTCAAGTTAGAAAATTAAAAAAAGGATTTTTGGTTCGCAAATCTTTTGGTATTTAAGGAGTCGGACGAATCGCAACCATCGGGATAACTCAGTATTGATTTCGGTGCAAATCGTCAAATAATTTCCAGCATTTTGCAAAAAAAGTAAAAAAGTCACGTTGGGCTGTATTTCAAACTCAAACTAAATTCAGTTCATTATTTAAAAAAAAAGTTGTTCCCAGAATGAGAGCAGGACACAAATAGTGTAAAAAGCCGGAGTATTTCCCGGTTTAATTTTCTCCTTTATTGTTCATATTTATCAGGATGTCTCGTTTCTAATTTACAGGTTCAATTTTCTTCTTTATTGTTAGTATTTATCACGTTTCCACTTTTTCTTATTGACCTTTCACAGCTTCAAATATCAACTAAATAGGACTGTTCAGATGTTTCGGTAATGCTTGGAAGTATAAAATACTAGTCTATCTCGTATTTCAAATTTGTAAATTGATGCTCAATCTACAGGGTGTCCCAATAAAAATGGGAATTCAGTGACGAATTCGATATCGTCTTCATAAATATTTCTTCGATTTAGTAAAGTGATACCTACTGAGAAAGCTGTAATCTGTAAGAGTTTCGTCTGCTATGTTTACATTTTGTTTGTTTATGTTTTGACTGCATACGGTTGTACTTGGTAAAACAAGAAAATTTCAGTATACAAACAGAGTAAACTTGTCCGTCTTTACTGTTCATCTTGCAGGGACATTATAGACACATCTTTACAGTCTTTTATCCTTTTCATAAAATAAACTCTAGCAGACATAATAATATTATGGCTTTTTATGTTAGGTATTACAATGCTAATTCACAACAAAGACGATATCAAATTCGTCACTGAATTCCCATGTTTTTTGGGACACCCTGTATCAGCATATTCTCTTTGATAATACAACAAAGAAAAACTTTTCTGCAATAGGAGGTCGACTTTTAGAAGAAAGTCAAGACTTTAAATAGTTCAATGAATGAACACGAGACACTGAAATTGTGCAGTGTATACAGTTAAGTATTTCTTTAACAATGTCGCCTTCCTATTCCATTTGTTTATGGTTCTCACTGCAAGTGTGTAAAATTGTCAGCTAAGACAGTTCCAATCTTTGTAGAAACGTGACCCTAGTGTGCAAAGTATTTAGTCTTTTATATTTTCAAATATATTTACTGGACTTGTGAGTAACAATTTTAGTTTTTAATTGTTGCAATGCAAGAGGAGTCGCCGAGTCTTTGCCACAAACTCTGATTTCACAATCCTCAAATCTTTACAACACAAAGTCGTAAATTTTAGATATTTCAAACTGTAAATAATGTTAAATCAAGTAATCAATGTTTGAAATTTCAAAAGTCTACACCAACAGGTTGCAAAAATATAAGGATTAGAACATTTGAGTTTGTGGCAAAGACTCAATTCCTTTACAACTGTCCTGTCAAAATTTATCCACTTTGATTTCCCACAAACCGTTCTCATGGGGTCATGTGAATTGCCACAAAAAAAGTTGAGCCTGATCAGTTCAGACGTTTTAATGATACAAACAAACTAAAAGATAAGCAAAATTTAGATGAAACACATTCTGGATGGATGCCCAAGTTTATTGTAGCACTTTCATTCAATCTACTTGAGATGACACTTTTCAATTTTCTTGTTGTTTATTTTATTTATAGAATAATTTAATGATTGAAAATATTATTTTTCGAATACGACAATGTTAATCTTTATGAAGACGACTTTGGAACATTTTTTCGGTGAATGCCATATAATTATGATAACCGTCCAAAGAATGAGACGCCCACCGTGAACTAACGAGAGAGAGAGAAGCATTCGGTTTCTTTTATTTGAAATCAAGCGTGTTTTCGTCTATAACTGAACAGTCTTTAGACTTACAGATTTGTTTATTTTATACTTTTTTCATTTAAAATGTATATGCCAACAAAAAAGTATTTAATATAAAAGGCTATAAAATTATGTAAAAGGGGTCAAATTGTGATCGAAAGTCACAGTTTTCTGAAATATTGACAGAACCGTTAAATCCACGTGCGCCTGTAAGTGTAAGCTAGTTGATTTTACTCCGATAAAGAATAGGGCCACCCATAACTTCCAAACGTTTTTATTGGGTTTTTATTCGGAACAGATTCAGAAAAGGTTTCGTAAAGCCTGTACGAATACGGACCCAAATTGACCCGAGGGGAAAAAATAGAAAACTCTACTTTTGTACATACTATTTTTATACTGTAAGACGACCTTGATCACTATTTTCAATACGCATGCATAGCTTCATTTGGACATATATAGTCCCCTATCGAATCGAACTGTTTATATATATAGTCAGATTCGAAATGAACGGGCTCGTTAATTGTTAAAAAGTAACTTTGTACGTTTGTTATCAAATTCAATCCATATTTAAAAACTAAGAACGCTAAGAATATCGTCTTTCATGGAAAACGATCTCTTCAATAGTCCGAATTTATAGAGGGGAAACCCTGCAGTATTTCAAAATGAAGAATATTTTAAAATGAATTTCTACTTTCCAACCAAAACAAAACGCTTAGTGTTTCTGATTGAAAAAAGCAGTTAAACTTTCTTGTGGGATAATTTATTATTAGCGTATGTTTACGTGCAGTACTAAATATAAGACATGAAGTACGGTGCTTAACATTTTTTTACAGGGTGTCCCAATAAACATGGGAATTAAGAGACTAATCCGGAGTCCTCTTTGCAAAGAATTAGCGTTGTGTTACCAAATTTAAATGGTCAAAATAAAGTTACGTCTGCTTTATGTAAACGGTAAAATACGGTTTTGTTATTCTGCAAAACGTAGTATAATGTGCTGTAACATTTCTGCAAGATAAACAGAGAAAGGAAACAACTGTACTGTGTTTGTATACATGAATTTCTAATATGATTAAGTACACCACCGTATGCAACAAAAAAAACATAAACAAACAAATTCTTAACTCTAGCAGACGGATTATAGCTTTTTTTAAGGCAGCACTATACTAAATCAAAAAATCATTTACGAAGGCAATATTAAATCGTCACTGAATTCCCATGTTTATTGGGACAGTCTGTACAAGGAAGTGCAAGGAAGGTTGCAGTACGTTCACGATATACATTGCATTAATGGTTTTGAAGACTAGCATTGTATATATTGTAACATCCTTGGTCGTTTTGTAAATTGGCATGATTGCTGGAACACCCTGCATATTCACAATTAAGACTGTTTATACATTCATAATTCATTATTGTGTTAATAATCTGTTTTAGTATTTAAAATATGAAAATGATAAAAGTTCATAGAATTGATAATATTTTTGATGAACAATATCTATCCCTGATTGTGTTCCGTATAAAACTGGTAGAGTTTAAATGTTGCTCTCATGTGATATTACTACTCTCCACAGTCCAACTTACAATACTAACTCTGAACTCAGTTTAGTTTGGATACAGAAGGGGACAGACGTGAAGTGAGTTTAAAGTAAACCCTCAGTCCTGTTTTGGAAGTATAAGAGGACAGACGTAACGCATCTGAGCTCAACCACTCAGTCCTGTTTTGGAAGTATAAGAGGACAGACGTGACGCATCTGAGCTCAAACTACTCAGTTCTGTTTTGGAAGTATAAGAGGACAGACGTGACGCATCTGAGCTCAAACCATTCAGTAATGTTTTGAACTTTAGGAAATAAGGCAGAACCCAAACTTTTGAATATGCATAATTATAATTTCAGATTTATGAATGAAAAATATGTCTAATCATTTTCTAGTGATTTTAACTCTAGGGATTATTTTATCCCTTGCTCTAACAACAAGTGCTTTATGTGAGGTAAAATAGGAGTATAGAGAGAAAGGGAAGGAGGAAGGATGTGCACAGATTTCAGCTGCAGATTATTTCAAATTAGATAACTAAATATTTTTTTTGTTCCAGGAGGAAAATATTTCATTGGATGGACAGGCACACTCAACTTCTCCAGCCAAGTAGGGTTACCATCTTCTAAATACGATAATTTCTCCAGCCAAGTAGGTTTACCATCTTCTAAATACAATAATGTAAAAGACGCATGATATTTATTTTCATTTGTATTTAAAAAGGTAAATTGAATTGCTTTTTATTTTGTCTTAAGATAAAGATGGTATTTATAATTCTTTGATTTATTAATTAATACACAATTGTGTTACGTTTCTCTTTTTCTTTTTGCAAAGCAAAAAATATTTTAATTAATGTTTGTTTCCTGCTATTAAGTAATGAAGAATAATCTAAAGTATATTTAATTTAATTTCACTTATTACAGTTCATCAACTGATTGTCAACTGATTTGTGACAACACCCGCTGCTCACATTGGGTTTGGAAAAATGGCGATTGTACACTTTTAAGGATTGCAGACCCTGGAAAAAAGGTATTAGTCAAGAGTGAAGAAAACGTTAGATTTGCGTTGTTTCACACGTTACAATTGTTTTGGTGGGCGTCATAGATTGAAAAATATTAGAATAAAGCTAAAAATGCAAAATTTTTGTTTGTTACATTAAAAAATCAGCGAACCCATTATATTCTGCAAATTATTTTTAAAAAGATTCCAATGGGAAAATGTAGGTTCTATTTATTTCAAACTCTTCCAAAAATCTATTGAAAAAAACATATAACAAAAAATCCGCTAAAAATTATTTGAAAAATCTGTAAACTAATCATAACAATTAAAACATTAAAAATGTGTGCCTACTGCGTACACTAATCGGAAACTTTCTATATTTCAATAATTTTTAAACTTAAGATTAAAGAGTTTTAATTTTATACTTTTTAAATTAAGACACATTCGCATACAAAATAAAGTATAAAAGAGAAAAAATTAAAAATGATGTCTAAAAGGTCAAAATGTGATCGAAGGTCACAGCTTGCTCACACACCTCCTGAACTTTAGTAAAACTAAATTCAATAAACGTCAAAACAGCTGAACCGATTGGACCCAATTTTTTAGTTTTTTCCTCACTTTCCTCACATGACCCCAGGGAAGGTTTATATGGATGGTCTAAACTGTTTGATAATTAAGAAAAAATGCCCCAGGTGGAGCAACATTTAATTAAAAGTTAAAATCGAAGCCTGGATAAATGTATTTTGTAATCCATAAGGTTGGGACACTAGGAGCGGTGGCTGGTATTAAAGGTGGAAACTCTTGTACATTAAAGACGAGAGGTGTTCAGTGCCACTATATTGGATCAAGGTAAGCTTAAATGTCGTCGTTGTTGATCAAATATCAAAGGGTCAAATTGCAAGCATTTTTTGTTCTAATATAATTTGGGATCTGTACAACAATGAAATATAAAGTCATGATTTTGAAACACAGCATCAGCATATTTAGCTTGAGCAGTGTACACACTGCACAGAGACGCATTTTAAGCTAGCTTAAAAAATTGAATTTCATGCGAGCTAACTTTATCACAACATTATCATTTAAATTTCAGAATAATTGATAATTAAGAATTATATCACATAAATACAATTATCGTAAATAGACGGTATTCAATTTTTTATTTAAATTCTCTATGTCAAAATCTGAAACAAATTTCCGTTTTTAAGAGCCAGCTTCGATTAAAGAACAACATTCTTCTGTCCATTATTTTGAATTTTAAATTTTTTAAATTCTTAAAAATGTGTTTAAGGGATCCAGTTATTTGTCTTTTCCCATTTATTGGAGAGACCCCTGGTGTAAAAAATGCCTCGACCCAGCATGAGTCCTGCCTTAAATCTAAAAAGGGTCATTTTTGGTGTGCAACAAAACTAGGGTAACATTTTATTATACATTATAATCCTAAACTATAGTTTGGATAATAAACTGCTGGCTACGAGTGATCAGACCAAGGATGTTGAATGTGGATTGTCAACTAGCAATCAAGGAAGTGCAATCAATGATATAAAAATTAATATTTCTTTATATTAGACCGCGATATACAGGGTGTCCAAAAGAACCGTAGTGATATCTAGGGCCTCTGTTTTTTCAAGTCAGAAATTATTTGTATCAGAGGGATTCCAAAACTTTATCAAAATTTGCTTGAAGGCTCTAGTCTAAGACTAGTTTACATCATTCGATCAGAGGTTTTCAGTAGATATAAAAAATGTCGAAAATCGTCAATATTGAGGCTTTAGCTTATGATATGTTTTTTGAAACACCCTGTAGTCACGTCCTTATTAAGTAACTCTCGGTTCTAAGTATTAATCCATTAAGAGCTTTTTGATTGATATAAATTCTTCAAATGTATTTATTAGATCATTAAAATGTTTTATCTAGATTTATCTGGTGAATATTTAAGATGCTACCACATGTAAAATCTTTAAATTAAGTTCAACATTTTATAAAATATTTTTTTTTTGCAATTTTACGACACAGTTTGATTATACTGATTTGAAATATTAATCTTGTTTACCCTTTCAAATATTAAATTAGTTGGTGAAGGGAAATAAATCATTTTATTTGTTTGTTACAAAATGAAAGTTATTTATTTATTTATTTTACGATTTTTTTAGGTAGCTTCTACTGTTTATCTGAGTCTAGTTGTCCAACTATGATCTCGGTTCAGGAGAGGGTTGCTCAGCTAGAGAAACTGAACAGGTTGAGGAAACTTTTATCATAATTTGGTGAAAATATTTATTTGGAAGAAAATAACTTGTCTCAAAGTATAATTATCTAATCCTATATCTTTGCACCATGCTGGTGAGACCTTTGAGGTTTTAAACTTAGATTATTTGATATAACAGAATTTATAATTTCAAATATCTAAGGTCTTTGACATTGTACACTTTGATATTGTATTTAAGTATCTGTTTTAATAAAATACATTAAAACAGTTTGTTGAGAAGAAAAAGGCTTTTGGATATTGGAAGTTGGATTTTAATCAAATAATCAACTTTTCTCAAATGGCGTATTTTCTGATTTTAATTACATACCTCCTGAGTCATCTGGGGGCCTTACTAACCAAATCCAATTGACAGAACCATTGGGATAATTCATAAAACTTAAATTCTTTCTAGTCAAGTGTGTGATTGGGGTTTATATATAAAGAGATTAAAAAATCAAAGTGTGTGACAAATACTTAATTCTTTTTAAAGTTGTCACGGTTCACACAAAAGTTTCTTCTTCTATCTGCCAAAATGGAATGAATTATGTCTTACTGTAGGGATCTGCAGAACCAGTTGACCAAGGCGTGCACAGGAAACCAGACTTCAGGTCCAGGGTTACCCACAATACAACAAATGAAGCTTCAAAGACGTCAGTACTGAATTAATTCATTCAGTATTTTTCATAATCTTATGGTTGCTGGTAGCTATACCCTACTTAACTCTTCCGAACTTCATGTAGTCATTTAAGTCGCTTTCTTTGTGGTCAACCCTGTACACTGACAGGAACATCATCAGGAGCAGCATCAGGGACTACAGCAGCACAAAGAGCACCAGGAACCGGAGCACCAGGAACACCAAGGGCACCAGCACCAGGAGCATCTAGTCCTAATTCTTGCCAAGGAAGATGCAATCAACCTGCAGCCATAGGTAAGAAACATCTATTCCTTTTTTCCATTTCTGTTTTTTTTTAAATTAGGGGTTTACTTCAAAATATTTACTTACTATACAGTTATAACCAGAAAACTTTAAAATATGAAGACGACTTTATAAGAATACCGAAGTGTATTTGATGTTGTTATTGCAAATAGATTTACAAGACACTCATCAAATCACTAATTAAGTAAAATGGGTCTGTTTACACTGCACAAATGCTCATAATATGTGTCTTAAAGTTGTTTTCCTATTTCACTTTTATGCAAGTTTTGGTTTAAATAACACTGAATCAGATATTGGAACTTGTGTGGATATTGTAAATCTTGAACGCTTGATCTAGATATCTAATGTGTGCATTTTTTAATCTGAGGATCAATGGTTGGTCCCTCAATTAATGTTGTCCCTGCAGTGTATGATCATCACGTGATATCGTATGTCTGTATGAGATGATCATTGCTTGATAATTGCTGTCAGATAATATATTTTTAAGATGTTAACATATTTTTGTCGTTGTAGGACAATGTGATTGTAGTTCTAGCTGTGTGGGGTTTGGAGATTGTTGTTCAGATTATTCATCAGTTTGCTCTGTCCAGGTTTAGATTAATGGGACTGTTCGCGTAATTTAAAGTGATCCTTAGTTAGGAGGGAATAGCTTATTCACAATGGCACTAATGATGAAGACACCCTTGCTTTTCTAGTTAAAAACTGACAATTTAGAAGTGATCAAAAGGCCTTTGCAGCATAAACAAATAAGGCACTTTTTAAGATAAAACTACGATATCTTCCCCAGGGTTTCTCAGATAAAGTTGTAAAAAACGTACTATTGTGCATCGCCAATCAACTCTTGAATTTGGGAGTCACTTTAGATTACGTTTTAAGTTCCTCAATTCCTTAAAATATATTTTATACGCTTCAACGTTGCGGTTTTCAGGGTTTACATATGTTATTCTTATTTTAAACTTTAGCATAAACTTCTTTTTTTTTAATAGTTTTCAGATGTTGACATCAAAACTTAATTCAAATCAACTTTTTCAGTGTCTGATACTTTTTACATCTTTTTCTCTAGAGTTCTGTTGCTGAAAGCTGTCAAGGAAAATGTGGAGATGTGTTCAATAACAACCAAGTTTGTCAGTGTAACTTCAACTGTGCCAGTTTTAACAATTGCTGTGATGATTTCTCAAATGTTTGTTCCTCTTCTTCTTCTCCTTCTGCCAGACCACCTGCTCCTTCTTCAGGAGGGGCTAGACCCTCATCACCCCCAACAAGTGGTGGAGCAACATCTGCAGCAAGGTGAGCTGATTGAAGCTAAATCAATAAATCCCTCAGATAAAAATATTAATATCTTGACACATGGTTTTTGACCTTCTTAAAGGGACTGACCGGCAATGTATGGTAGATGATCTGAGAATGTAATATTATGGAGAAATTTTTTTAGGATTCATTTCGTTTTAATGATGTATAATTACTGAGTTTGAGAGCAAAGTCAACGTTCAAAATCATCCATTTGGATGGTTACGTTTGAGAATCGATTTTTTAAAAATTATTTAATAACGTCAACAAAAATGTAAAAAAAATTTTACAGTAAACTAATTAAATGTTTAGGAAAAAAAATTCTCAATTGAAATTTTCATCATTAAATTGAATTCCATATTTTTTATAAATTTGTTCGCAAATTTCTTTAAATTCCTCAAATGTCGTCTTTTCAATAAAATTCCAGGAAATCTACAGGAAATGTTCGTGAACAATGAGACATTACAGAAACCAATAGCTAAATAAGATTACTTATTTTCGAAGATATAATAGTTAATTTTTATATTTTAACCTGTTCCTAAACAATTGATTAAGTTACTGTATAACTTTTACTACATTATTCGTCGTCGATGAGGATTTTATGAGGATTTTAAAGATTGAATTTGCCCTCTTGCAAACCGGTTTTTACGTAAAAACGTCTCATAGGTCTCACTCTCAAATGACTCCCTAACAATTTCTCCACAATACTGCATTCTAAGTGCCGGTCACTGCCTTTAAAATTATTAACCTCTGACCACCGAAATCATATATATACCTCGAAACATTTTGAACTTCAGACCTAACCCTGACCTCTATATGGACCTCCCAGACCTCTATATAGACTTCTATACATCTTCTTTAAAAAAGTCTAGAACATTTTCTATTGTTTATTTAGATAGGTTATTGCTGGAGTGGACTCATACGTCTTTTAAGCTTAGACCTCTTAATTAAGGTCCTTGTTTTCCATATATATATATATCTATATGTACCTTTCTGACCTCTATAGGGAGCACCGTGACCTCTTTATAATAAACCTCTCCCAGATCTCTATAGACATCTTTAACCTCTTAAATGACCTCCTAGACCTCTATTTAGACCTGGAGTTGGTGCTGATCCTCTTCTAGGCGTGGTTACTGAATCTCTCCTTGCTTTAGATGAGAATAATGTGATGGATAAGATTACGTTGACTACAGGTACTTTATTAGGCATACACAATTCAAAACTTTTTCATAACTATAAATGTATAAGCTAAAATGTATAGTGTGTGCGTTTATATTATTATTAAGATTTTTTTTTCACACACTGATATAAATAAATATAATATGGTGTACGTACTTTAAAAAGCAAAACAAAATAAATTTTTTAAATAAGTCAAAAAATAATTCTACATATTCATTTTCTAATTTCAAAACGCATTCTATTTCAAAGTAATCTAGTCAGATTTTTAAATAATCAAAAACTTTTCAGGAATAAATTTATTCCAATTAAACGAATACATGTTTATTCAGTAAAATATCAAATTTTAGAAATTATTAAAATTTATGAACGTAAGCTGTCATTTCTCGTTGACTGTGGTAAACTTTGACATCCACCATTAGCAAAGGGTTTGAGCCCATTCTTGCTGACTTTAGTAGACTTTGACATCCACCATTAGCAAAAGGTGTGAACCCATTCTTGCTGACTGTGTGGTAGACTTTGACATCCACCATTAGCAAAGGGTTTGAACCCATTCTTGTTGACTGTGGTAGACTTTGACATCCACTCTGTTCATGTACATTTGTGTATTTATGTACACTGTTGTTTATTGTCCATTGTACAGGTTGTACAACACGAGTTGGTCGGCCAACAGACTGCTCTTCTCAAAACCTGTTTACACAAGTTGATACTTCTATCTTTAGGTAATTAAAGTTTAAAAAATGCGCTTAAACAAAATCATATTATCAAGTGATGTTTTTTTTAATAAATGATCGTGAAAAATGAAAGGTTGACCAGGATGAATCATATAAGAAAATTATATATAATTATCTGTATAGGAAACCTGATATTATATGTTATTATCTAAATAGGAAACCTGATATTCTATGTTATTATCTGTATAGGAAACCTGATATTATATGTTATTATCTGTATAGGAGACCTGATATTATTTGTTATTATCTGTATAGGAAACTTGTTATTTTATATTATTACCTGTGTAGGAAACCTGGTATTTTCTGTTATAATCTGTGTAGGAAACCTGGTATTTTATGTTATAATCTGTTTAGGAAACCTGTTATTTTATATTATTATCTGTATAGAAAACCTGTTATTTTATAGCATTATCTGTATAGGAAACCTGGTAATTTTTACTATTACCTGTATAGGAAACCTGTTAATTTTTGTTATTACCTGAATAGGAAACCTGTTATTTTATATTATTATCTGTATAGGAAACCTGTTAATTTATATTATTATCTGTATAGGAAACCTGTTAATTTATATTATTATCTGTATAGGAAACCTGTTAATTTATATTATTATCTGTATAGGAAACCTGTTAATTTATATTATTATCTGTATAGGAAACCTGTTTATGAAAAGCTGATTGCAATGTATGAAAATTATGATCCTGATATTACTAAGGTCATTATAAACTTTTTTTTGAACAAAGTCGAACATAACAGAAGGAGAAAGTCAAATTTATTCGACATTACTGGTGCGATTTTATGACTTCTTAGCTCCTATAGTTTTGATTTGTCGCATAAGTATGTGAAAAGCAAATTAATTTGGTTGTAAATTGGAAATTAAAAACATGTTTGTTCTTTGCAATAGCTCTTTATTAGGAGGAGTTCAGATTGAAAACATTAAAGACTTTATTTCAACTTTATTTGACGCTAAAGGAACTGAGTTCTGGTCACAAACTCTGATTTTCTAATTTCTATATCTTTGCAATCCAATGTCGTAGACCTTTGATATTTCAAACTATGAATTGTGTTATATTAATTAATCAAAGTTTGAAATATCAAAATTCTACATCATCAGATTGCAAAGTATGGATTAAAAAATTCTACATCATCAGATTGCAAAGTATAGGGATTAAATAATTCTACATCATCAGGTTGCAAAGTATAGGGATTCAAAAATTCGAGGTTGTGGCAAAAACTTTATTCCTTTAACAGGAAGATCCAACAGAAACATCAACAAGTTGTTTTAGAAAAATATGCTAATAATCATTTGTTTTAAATATTTGTTAGGTAAAATCCACAGAAATTTTCATTAAATAAAGACACACAAAATAGTCTAAAATCCAACTTTCAAAAAAATGTATCCATATTTTGATTCAGACTGAGGATATAACGACTGCTGAAAGAAGAGAAGAACAAGATTTTATAGAAGAAATCATGAAAACTAAAGTCATGAAGGAAAACAATAAAGATGAACATCTTTAAAAATAATTCAAAAAAACAAAACTCAACTTATGATTTTATTTGAGCCATGTAATTTAAAAGTACCTTGTAACTTTATCTGAGAAGCGATAGCATAAATATCACTGTTTACAATTTGAAATGGCCATTATCTAATGAAAATAAAACTATATTTTTGTCCATTTCTTTTAAAAGATATTTTCATCAATTCTTGGATAAACATTAATGATTGTTGTTAAATAGAAATGATTACAGTTTAAGTTGTCAAAACATTGTTTATTTTTGTCATCTTTATAATTTTGTAAACCCAGGAAACATTAAGCTTTCTACGAGCTCAAAAATACTTTACTAAATCAGAAACAGGTGAGAAGTCCCATAAATGTGGTGGAATTTGTATTGTATGGTTTATACCACGGCCAACTTATAGATATGATTCTATCTACCTATCTAAACTGTTATGGACCAGCAGGACCAGCGTACATGTAATACTTTTGGATGGGCTTCACAGCTGATATAGATAAATGGACCCTAGATTTTTAGTGAAATTTTCGAATCTTTGCATGGTGTACTCTAGGTTTTACTGTGACTAATTTTCTTTCTGTTTATCGTTCATTCTTGAAAAATGACTAGTTCCTTCAAAAAATGTTAGAAGGGAAGTTCAGGGCCCAAAACAGAGTGGAGTATTAGTAAGTAGTGTGCCCTGGAGTAAGACAAAACGAGATACTATAACTAATATCGTGTAAACATGACATTGTCTCTCAAAACTTTAGTGCATCAAATGGTCCTTTGGGGTTACCAAAAAGTGGTCTGCCATTTTTGTACCTTATGAATTGACTGAGATATCGAGATTTTTGTCTAAAATTTTAATTATTAAATACTACAAGGTTGTTTAAATCTTTATTATCTCCGACAGTTACAAAAAAGAGGGATGAATTTTACCAAGTTTTAAAGACTTATACTCAAAGCTTGTCTATAATATATCCATTGTTTATACAAGCTAGCTAGGTTTAATATTTATCTATTGAGTTTAAAGAGACTGTCTCGAGAAATTGATATAAAATTGTGTAAAAGTTACACCAAACCCATGTTCTTCGATATCCGCATTTGTCTGCACTCTGCTAATGCTGAAACAATAACATAGTTTTAAATGTGTAATTTAAATAATGCAATACTGTGTGCAATGTAAACATACATCTTTAAATACAGGTTTACTCAGAAAGCTTGAGACTTAAAGACCATGCCCAATGTTTAACGGTATTTTACACCTTCATCTGAGCAACAATGAGAATAGAAAATATTCAATTTTCAGATAGAAAAATAAGAACTTATTGACTTAAATGGGAAGTTGGCGTGTTTCTAGATTGTTACTTGATAGTACGTCAACAGTACTTTAATAACGACCTTTTTAAACTCTTTAAACAAAATAAAACAATCTAATGATTGAATTTTGGCAGACGCTGAACTCCAACCTTCGAGTGTGAGAGGTGGGGAAGACTTCACTGCAGATTTCACTTTTGTACGTGACCACTTTTTCAACAATTTTCAATTAAATTAGTATTTATTTAGGGTTAGGTTAGGTCAAGACACTTTCTGGGCCGAGCGCTGCGGCTAGGACAGGCTAGGAGGCCGAGCGCTGCGGCCACGGGTTAGGTTAAGTTATGACACTTTCTGGGCCGAGCGCTGCTGCTTGGATTCAATCTCGATCTACTAATGTCATCCTCCCTTAATCATGCTTTTAATTCAGCGCGGCAGTGTAGTCTTCCCCACCTCGCACCCTTGAAGGTTGGAGTTCAGCGTCTGCCTTGAATTTTCATATAAATATGCATACTTGTTAGACTTTAAGAAGCTGCTTGAAGAACTGTGGTTTGGGGTGTATAGCAGAGGAAATAGAATCCTTGGATCAAGTGGATTCGAACATGTTTTCCTCGGAGAAAAGAAGGTAAATACAGGGTGTGTCACATAACTTGACATTTGGTGAATAGTTTAAAATGTCTTTCCATAATTTGTTAAGTTGTTTGATACCTCAGAAAATATTAAATAAAATAGTTTTTTTAACAAAATAAATTTCAAACAGTTTTTGATATCTTAAGAAAACATTAAAAACTATTCACCAGCTCTCATGTTTCGTAGGTCCCCCTGTAGTTGATAACAATATGACAGGGTGGGTTAATAAACATGTTTTTCTTGGAGTACAAGAGGTAAATAGCTGATAACAATATTACAGGGTGGGTCAAAAAACATATTTTTTTCGAAGTATGAAAGGTAAATAGCCGATAACAATGTGACAGGGTTGGTCAATAAACATGTTTTTATCAGAGTACAAGAGGTAAATAGCTGATAACAATATGACAGGGTAGGTCAATAAACATGTTTTCTCGGAGTATAAAAGGTAAATAGCTGATAACAATATGACAGGGTAGGTCAATAAACATGTTTTCTCGGAGTATAAAAGGTAAATAGCTGAAAACAATATGACAGGGTAGGTTAATAAACATGTTCTCTTTGGAGTATAAAAGGTAAATAGCTGATGGAGTAATACAGTGTGGATCAATTAACATCAATCAATCAATTGTTCAGGATGGCAAGGTTCAAGGATTTCACAACTGGGTTTACTTCTACTTCCTAGAGCAGCGGAAACAAGTAAATAATTAATTCTTGAAACTTAATTTTTTAATTTCGAACTTTAAAGGGACCGTTCACTTATTTGGGTAATTTTGATTAAAAAAAATTTGAATATAGAATTAAACTGAAGTATCCAATAGTTAATTGTAAAGTTCATAATTTAAAAAACTTACTTTCTATTTCTAAGATAACATTTTTTTAGCGCATTGACCAATTTGTATTACTTCTCCGTAAAATGCTGAATAGAACGGAGCATGAAAATTGAAAGGTTACGCACATACATAAATTATAATTGGGTAGTTTATAATAAATTAGACAACTGATAGAAGGGTGTCATCATCCGAGGGGAGGGAGCGGAACTAGGATTTTCGACCTTTCTCGCAATAACATATATCGGTTGGAGAACTGACAGCAGCTTGTATGGTTGGGGAGAACCGAAGAGCGGTTCACCCATCCTGCTCTGAAAGTTTAAAAAATAAACTATTTCGGATTATTCACAAATGCATCATTGCAAGTTAAGATGTATATTTTATTTACATCGAACGCAGAGTTGAATCTAAGAACCGAAATTGCGCAATGATTAATTGATTGTCGTTGAGAACCTTGTTTTTTTTCTTCTACATTTTACACATTTCAATACAGTGAAATCCTTAATAAAGAAGACATCGGAAGAATTTATCAGATGTCGTCTTGACAATTTTTCAATGAGTTTTTTACTATATTACGTAAATTTCAGTATTTGCGAAAATAAATAAATAGCCATGAATATGCGGGAACAGTTTTAAAGAGTTCCATATAATCATTTAATTAAAAAACCAAATATCTGCAACATTCCATTATCAGAAAGTGAAGAATACGACATTTGATAAATTCTTTCAATGTATTCGTTATTAAGGGGTTCACTGTACGAAAAACGTAAATCAACTCAAATATTAAAAGTTTTCATTTTAGTAAATAGTTGATTGAAATATGATAAATTAAAATTTTTTTGAGCTGCTGTTGCTGAAAAATGTCTAGTAAAGTGTTTCAGACAAAGGAGCGCCGTCCCTATGCGCTCGAATTCTGAACTAAAAATCGGCTTTTTCTTCGGACACAGTTGTCTTTGAAAAGTAATACTAATACCAATTAACAGCTGATAGGCTGTTTAGTTTACCATGAAATTACCAAAATAAGTCCCTTTGAATAAAAAAATTATTTTTGTTTTGCTTTTACCTTATACAAAAGAAAATTTCATTTCTCATTACCATTAGATATAGATATACCATTAGATATAGATATACCATTATATACACAAAATTTAACATAATGAGTTTCAGGTTGTCATTAAAGTCTCTTGTGTGTAACCCTGCACAGTTCCATTCAAGACGACATTTGATAAATTCTTCCGATGTATTCGTTATTAAGGGTTTCACTGTAGTAAAAAAGGAACAAAATTTTCCATGACCAGTGTCAGAGCAAAAATCTTAAAAAGTTCGTCTCTATAATTGTTAAAAAGTAATTTTTCTATTTTAACTTCCTTTTCACAGGTGAACTATCTTGGACATTGGGAGAAGATAGATTTAGGAGGCAGGGGCACTGGACTCTCCTTTACCTTCCTTTGGGGTCAAGGTATAGTATAACCAGGGCACTGGACTATCCTTTACCTTCCTTTGGGGTCAAGGTATCTTATAACATGGGCACTGGACTATCCTTTACCTTCCTTTGGGGTCAAGGTATAGTATAACCAGGGAACTGGACTATCCTTTACCTTCCTGTGGGGTCAAGGTATACTATAACAAGGGCACTGGACTATCCTTTACCTTCATGTGGGGTCAAGGTATACTATAACAAGGGCACTGGACGATCCTTTACCTTCATGTGGGGTCAAGGTATACTATAACAAGGGCACTGGACTATCCTTTACCTTCCTGTGGGGTCAAGGTATACTATAACAAGGGCACTGGACTCTCCTTTACCTTCCTGTGGGGTCAAGGTATACTATAACAAGGGCACTGGACTCTCCTTGGCCTTCCTGTGGGGTCAAGGTATACTACAGAAGGATTTTTTTAATCATTTTCAATAAACACTAATATTAATTGGGACGAGGAATATAATTGGAACTTTCAAAAAATTGGGACATTTCACTGAAAAGCATTTCATTGATAGAACATTTTACAGACAAGGAATTTTAAAGATAGGACATTCCATAGAAGACATTTCATAAAATACATTTCATAGGCAGGTACGCCCACTTTTTTCGCCTTTTATGTAATCTTATGCAATAAATCGTAATTCAGTTGATTCTATACGATCTCTTTGATTTTTAAGTCGCATCGTATTAATATTTTCGCTTGTAACTGACAACGTTGTTGATATCATGTTAGTTGAGACACACACCCTGCAAAAAGATATGCATTTTATCAAAGATATATTTGTATCTAAAACATTTTAAAAAATTGTGACAAGTTTTATTTTAAGCAAACACCTCTAATTGTCTCTTTGGGCAGCACTGACTTTGTTTACATTTCTCCCAGAAACTGCAGTACATATTATTTATCGGAGTCCCTGTAATATTTCTTGATAGAAACTACCTTCTTGACTTTTCTATATTTTCAGAGCAGAAACCCTATGCTTCAATGCTAGTTGGAACCTCTCCTGAACTAGGGAATTCATCAATTAAATATATTTTTGATAAAAAATAATTGCAAAATTTTTTAACATTTATGAACATCAATTTCCATGGGACTTTTAGTAGAGTCTTTAAAATGACTCGGTTTTGCTCTCTGCGGAAATAAAAGCATTTTATGTAGATTTAGCATCAGTTTATGAATGCGTATGTTAAATTGAACAAAATTAAATAATTTCCACATTTTTGGTAGAAAAAGTCATGCAGAGTCAAAAATCAAACATATAAAATTTTAATATTTTATTGAAGATTTTAATTGCAGAGATTGCGGTTTACACAATCTGTCTTCTGGCTAAGGGAGAAGAAAAGTAATATATTATATTTATTTTAAAACTAAGATTGGAAATGATGCTTTCAATTTTTTTACATAATAAAACTAAATTATATTAAACAGTTTTCTGTTGTATTTATATATATATTTAATCAAATACTTTTTGTTTCAGATGTAACATCAGCCTTGGAGGGCAGAAGGTTGAAATAGAGGTTCATGTATTCAATAGACCCAGGGGGGTTAGGTATATTGCCAGCTCATTCATGAACTGGAGTTAAGCTGGAGAACAGTAATAAACTGAGCCTGGAATTTAAAAGAGTATCGTTGATCGATCCTCCCAAGTTTCCTTTTTGAATTCTGTAAATTCTTGTAGTTTTACGTAAAAAAAATGAGAGAACATGTAAACAAATTTTTTACAAATTTTTGAGATATCCACAAAAAATCAGGCTGCAAGGATACATGCATTAGAAAATTTGAGTTTGTTGGAATTGGACTCTAAATCCTTTGAATTTCTCTTTTCCAATTTGGGAATTTTGCAAATCTTACCTTTATGCTGTAAACTTAAACTTTCGTAAAATAAACTATAATACCTTGCAAACATTATTCAAGAGTTTATATTATCTATTTATGTTATTGTAATGGGTATTAATAAGTGCGAAATGAAGTTTTTTCCGGGATTTTTCTAGTTAATTTTGATCGAAAACTAGAAAAAGTAAAATCACAGAAAAAACTTGTTCACACGCATGATGATACCCATTAAAATAACAGATATAATTCTAATCAATTTTACTCAACTCATTTAATTGCAGGTCGATAAAGTATAAAAGTTATAAAACATTAGTTCAATTTAAGTAATAAATAGTGAACTGTATACATGAATAGTTTAAATTACAAAAAAAATTTCTTTATTTGAGAACTGTATCGGGAAGACTCTAACTATGAGTAACATTTAATAATAGAGCGGTAACCAGAAACCTGAGAAATACCTTAATAACATTTAATAGTAGAGTGGTAACCAGAAACCTGAGAAATACCTTAATAACATTTAATAGTAGAGTGGTAACCAGAAACCTGAGAAATACCTTAATAACATTTAATAGTAGAGTGGTAACCAGAAACCTTAGGAATACCTGAATAACAGTTTATAAAAATTAATTAACTAAAATTTAAAAACAAACGACAATCATTTCACTGCTACCACTTCTAAAAGCCCGAAATTTGAAAACACATTTTTTATGAAAAATCAATTACACATTATTTCTAGATATTGTTATGCCTTTAGTTTTCACAGATTATATTGAAATCTATATCTATTAGATATTTAAACTTCTAGTTTTCACAGATTAGATTGAATTCTATATCTGCTAGATATTTATGCTTCTAGTTTTCTCAGATTATATTGAATACTATATTTGCTAGATATTTATACTTCTAGTTTTCACAGATTGTATTAAAATCTATATTTGCTAGATATTTTTATTCTTCTAGTTTTCACAGATTGTATTAAAATCTATATTTGCTAGATATTTATTCTTCTAGTTTTCACAGATTGTATTGAAATCTCTATTTGCTAGATATTTAAACTTCTAGTTTTCACAAATTGTAATGAAATCTATGCCAGATATTTATACTTCTAGTTTTCACAGATTAGATTGAAATCTATATCTGGTAGTTTTCACAGATTGTATTAAAATCTACATTTGCCAGATATTTATTCTTCTAGTTTTCAGAGATTGTATTGAAATCTATATCTGCTAGATATTTATACTTCTAGTTTTCACAGATTGTATTGAAATCTATGTCCGCTAGATGTTTAAACTTCTAGTTTTCACATATTTTATCAAAATCTAGATCTGCCAGATATTTATACTTCTGAATGAATGCACTAAGAGGAATAAGATCACCGAGTCCAGGAATGATTGTTATCTTTTCCTATAAAAAAGTTTCATTTAAATAAAAAAATAAACTTTTAATTAAGATTGAATTTTTTTTGTAATATTCATATTTACATTACATATTTATATCAATATAATAAAGACGACTTTTCTATTTAAGCAAATTTGATTTCCAGCAAGTCATTCTCGTTGTATTGATACATACGACGACGACTGTAAATAAAACCGATTACTTATGACAAATGAGATTATTGAACCATATGATATTTTACAAAATTCCGATCTTGTATTTTTTACGTAACTTAAGATAGAAATTTATGAATAGCACAAGTTGAACCAGAAATACCTGAATAATCACATCTTATGTATTTTAGGTCGCAAGTTGGGGTTTTAACTTTTTATTTGATAACATTCACATTTGTTTTTAGCCTAACGCAAGCTAAGCTTGGTTCAAACTGAATTGTTTTTATAAATTTCCAGCTCAGAACAAGGGAGTCAATAATCTTTCAAGATTTTCTTTTTTAATCTGTAATTAATTGTACGATTATTGATTATTGATTATTTACTATGACTTAGTACCTGATGCATTATCTGAATTTTCAGTTCTTCGCCAGCAATTAAATCAAGTTCTTCTAATTTTTTATACCTCTCCGGTTCTTTAGACTCCTCTGATTCTTTAGACTCCTTCGATTCTTTAGACACATCCGATTTTTTACGTTTCTTCGATTCTTTAGACTCCTCCAATTCCTTAGATTCCTCTGATTCTGTAGATTCATCTGAATCTACAGACCTTTTGTCAATTTTAGAATTTTCTGATTCTTCAGACTCCTCCGATTCTCTAGAATCTGACTCTGTGGACTCCTCCGATTCTTTAGATTCCTCCGATTTTGTTGACGCCTCCGATTCTTTAGATGTTTCCAAATCTACAGATTTTTCAGTTTTGTCCATGAATTCCTCAGAGGATGTGTTTTCGTAATTCCCTTTCACCTGCGATATTTCATCTTTGGAAAAATATTTAAAATATTTTTTTTTACTTTTTAGACAAAGAAATCTGCTACTGCTATTCTAAATCAGTTTTTTTTTTGCAAGGCTCAATGTTTGATTATGCTGTAACATTTTACTTTTTAACTTAAAAGGAGTAACCGCTAAAAATGAAAAAGTGATCGGAAATTGATTTAAGATAATTTTAATTTAAACAAAAAATAAATTTGGTTCAGAACTGAGACCCAGCAACTATTTCTATTTTTTTTGGGACACACGGTATGAAAAATGAAACCTGAGAAGCAGAACAGCGCAGCACTATAACATCTAGGTTTGTTCCAAACGAGGAAATTTCCGAGGTTTTCCATTTTCTGTCCTCCAAGGGCCAATCAGATGCCTAGGAAGGAATATAGAAATTAAATTAGGAGTTTTATCTTTTTGAAACAAAAACGGTAAAGTAGAAGACGACCTTTATCATAATGTCTTCCAAGTATATCAATTTCAACTACTTAATTTTAACAATAAAAAATTACAGAAAAGGAAGAAAATGTCATTGCAGGGTGAGGAATTTTCTTTTTAAAGTAAGTTTTAAAAAAAAATTGATTGTTCTGGTACCAAATATTTTGAATTTGAACTTCTCTACTGTCACTGCCACTTCAAATTTAAATCACCAATTCCAATCCTTCTTTGAATCGTTGGTTCAAATTTGAGCCGACAGTCTGTAGTTCAGCGAAGAAGCTCAAGTTCATTAAATTCGGTCCCAGAATCAGTAATACTATTTTTCAAGAGTAAGAAGATTAAAATATTTAAGATAAATTTTATGTTTTTTCGATATCCAGTGGTACAATCCTACCCTGCAAGATTAAATGAAAAAGAAGATTGAGCGCTGATTCTCAAAATAAAAATGCCCACAGCGGATATCAATATCAAGCTTTGGAATTATTGGAATCCAACATAAAAGTTTCCAGGTCAGATTAGATCCATTTTTGATTCGTACTTTTGACACTATAGATAAAAGCTGTGAAAAAAAATGGTTCAAGATCAGTAAATTCATAATTTATAGTTTCAATGTTATGATTTACCTTTACTGGTTCCTGATCCAGATACAGACCTAGAGATACAAGGAAAGGCATCAAGGTTTCAGCATGGGCGAACATTAGAACTGAATTGTTTACTGCTAATCTACCCTCCTGGAGAACTTCTAACCTATACCATCAAAATAAAGGATCAATTTTTACTCGTATTTTACTTTAGAGATAATTCAAAAAACTAAATAGAATAGAATAATTCTATGTATTTAATTAAAATTTTTAGTTTTTAAAAGAAAAGCATGAGACTTTAGTGTAGATTGTTGATTTGTTCAAGTTGTTGTTAATCTATTGGTACAACAACTGATGTAGCACAACGAATTTCAACCTATTTACCTATTTACAGCCTCTTTTTTTAAATGATGTGCGAAATAATTTTGCGGAGAATCTGCATTGAACCATCATAAAAGATGGAAGATTCTGCAATGTCGTCTTTGTAGCTGGAAGATTAGATTGATTTTGTCCTAATGTCAACCGACTTTAGAAGTTTCAGGGGACATTAGTCCCAACCTGGGTGTATGGCCTGATATTGACACTGGGTGTCTTGACACAAATTAAAAGATTGACATTTTAAGAACACAGAGAGCACAGATATCCAGAGAGCTTTGAAATGTCTAGACTGGGTCAACTTTAGAGTGTAGTCACAACCCCTGATCCCTTTGGGATTACATTACTAACTCATTTCAGCTTTTTTTGCACTCGTATTTCTAGAATAAATTCAAAATGAGGAATTTGCATATGCTGACGACGGCCATTCCAGAATCAAAATTGTAATAGAAAATATTTTTTTGTAATTTACTTAATTTTAAAAATGAAAGAAATACCTTGTTATCAGATCATGCCAAAGAGGTTGAGTCATCAGTTTAGTAATATTATATGCATACCCATCTTCGTAATAATACTTCAGGTCTTCTCTATATATATATATATATTCATTATCACGCATTCAAGGCTTTAGTCGTCCCATAATCTCAATCAGAAATGCCGCTGACGATTTAGTATTTTAGCAATATATATATTTTTATCTTTATTTATTATTTCGATTTTACTCGAAATTACTATTTTTCCCCAAAAAAGTAATATTCGGTTTTTTACTCGTTTAAAAAAAACAAAACAAAAAACTACAAAATACTTTTACATATATTTCATGCGTGGTAGGCGTAAATATTAATACAACATTGACGACTTTCTCATGTACTATAGTTCAGCCTGACTTATTCCCAACATTAAACACGTTAGGTCAACAATATAATGGGTACACTAGACCAGACTGTATATATATATTTGATGAAAGATAATTTTTAAAAGATATTTGATGATGAATTATTTCCTGAACTCGTAGACGTGAAGGTCCTGTATAGAGAAGACGGAGCACCAGGGAGACCAGGTCCCAGGGAACCAGGAGACCTCAAACCTACAAATATATTTAATATTTAAACACAATTATAAAATAATACCAGGGGGACCAGGTCCCAGGATACCAGGAGACCTCAAACCTACAAATATATTTAATATTTAAACACAATAATACCTATATACCAATAATATATCCCAAATTATACCTGCATATATCTCAGATTATACCTGCAGATATCCCAGATTATATCTTCAGATATCCCAGATTATATCTTCAGATTATATCTTCAGATATCCCAGATTATGCCTACAGATATCCCAGATTATACCTGCAGATATCCAGATTATAACTACCGATATCCCATATTACACCTGCAGATATCCCAGATTATACCTGCAGATATCCCAGATTATACCTGCAGATATCCAGATTATGCCTTCAGAAATACCAGATTATATCTTCAGATATCCAAGATTATAGCTACAGATATCCTAGATTATACCAGCAGATATCCAAGATTATACCTAGAGATATCCTAGATTAAACTTGCAGATATACCAGGTTATCCTTGCAGATATTCCAGATTATAACTACATACATCCCAGAATATACCAGCAGATATCCCACATTTTACCTGCAGATATACCAGATTATATCTACAGATATCCCAGATTATAACTACCGATATCCCATATTACACCTGCAGATATCCCAGATTATACCTACATATATTCCAGATTATACCGCAGATATCCCAGATTATACCTACATATATCCCTGATTATGCCTGTAGATATCCCAGATTATACCTGCAGATATCCAGATTGTACCTGCAGATATCCCATAGTATATCAAGCTCTGATTTAGAAAATTGAACTCCAGTTTGTTTCTCCGTTCTGTCTCCAACCTCTTTAAACACTGGCATGGTTTCAAACTTTAAAACCTCTAAAAAAGTTAAGAGTCATCTGAGTCAAGCATCATTATTGAAAAAAAGGAGTGTTAATTAATAAGTTTTAAAAAATTAGATATCTATAAAAAAGGAGTTAGTACAGAGCTGGAAACTTAAGAATGGTGGATATCAGGATTAATGCTTAATCCTCTCTTTTTGCTAATCTCGAGACTAACATAATCTCGAGATTAAATATTTAGATCAACAAAGTTGATCCCAGGAATGCAAGATTTGTTCGTTTTCTTGACTGGAAGGGCCTTCACGTAATGTCTAACCCATTTATTTAGTTTTAAAAATCTCAAACGTATTAATATTACATATTTTTCTTCACCAATTAATTTACAAAATGGCCGACAACAAATTCTTTATTTGTTAGAAATTGCGGAGGTATCTCATTGCCGATAGAATTTATTTTCAAGGCTATATTGGTCAATTAATACAATTTACGAACCATATTCCTGCACTCTCATTGGAGAAAATAATGTACCGATATCCAAAGAGAGAGAAAAAGAGTGGATTAAGGACTAAAATTAAAAGTTTCCACAGTGGATATTCGGATTAAGCAGTCGGGATTAAAGGTTATCCATTCTAAAGTTTTCAACTCAGGGTGTTTTTTCATTGTAAATTTTAAAACACTAATAACTCAATCATTTCTAAGATATCTATACTTTCTCTAAAAATCTAATGGAAGATGAGATTGGCACTTTTGATTTATTGAAACATAAATGCAATATAAAACAATTTTTTTCAACAAATGTTCGAAATGCCCGCCATCTTCTTGGTAGTAAACTCTTGGAATTCATGGATTGCAAATTTCTCGACAATCTCAACAACCACAACAATTCCTAGTCCGAGCCAAATTTTCCTCATTTTCTCGTCCGAGCCACCTCAAAATCCTAGTCCTTTCAAACATGGACAGATTTTCAAAAAATATTCTTATCTTCAAGGATTGGACAAAAAAAATATTTTTGAAATGATGAGGATTTCGAGGGGGCTCGAGCGAGAAAATGAGGAGAATGTGGCTCGGACTAGGAATTGTTGTGGTTGGCCTTCCTCCCCTCGTTCAAGTTAAACATATACGTTGCGACTTGCGCTTCGAATGAATTTGCAGATTTCTCCTCTTATATTTTGCGGATTTTCAAAATAGAAGATAAAAAGTTCCAATCTCATCTTTTATTAGCTTTAAAGAGAACTTAGATATACATTAAAATGATGGAGTTTAGCGTTTGAAAATTGACATTAAAAACCCAGTCTGTTGTACAATGTACAATAAAACAAAGATTTAGGCCACCTTGACATGGAGTTTCTGATTCTCCGACCTCGTTGATGTACAGGGAGCAATAATCATAAAACCTAGTTAAAGGGACTGTACAGTGAAGAGGCGATAGTTCACGTGACTTTATTTAAAGGGTTAAATTCCTTATTCACAACAATATCCTATGTCCCTTTATGAGGTTAAAAGTAAGATATTTTTCTTAGCTTTCTTTTGTCTCTGTGGCAAAAAAACCGCATCTCACTTTCACAGAGAACCACAATTGAAATTGATCTAGTCCAAAGAAACTACTTGACAAGTCCTTGTAAAGGATTTTTTTTACAAATGGAAATAAAGTAATTAAAGTTTTATAACTTTGTCTTTTCTAATTAGATTTGCTGAAATATTTAGATAAAAGTTTAAACTCTTGAATACATGATTCCCTTGTGGGTCTAAATTTCCATTTGTTCAATGTTTAAATAAGAATAAATGTATAAAAAGGAAGCAAACTCTAAATAATATCTGTTACTTTTTTTCATTTTAAAATTATGGTTCCTTGCCTCCAGAAGCAAATTAATGATTTTTCTTACATCATTCTCTGAATTTGATGAACTGCTTGTATCTTAATCTATTTATCTTTTCTTGGAAAATTTCACAGAAAAAATATTTTGTAACCTAAGAAGATGATTATCTTCCACTAGTGGTAGTTCTGCAGAGAAGAGACCTTTCATAAACTCCTTTCCACTCTCAATACATCGCTGTTTATAACTCGTATACACCTTTAGAAGATATCATTGTCATCATCATCATCATCATCATCATCATCATCATCATCATCATCATCATCATCATCATCATTTATTATCTTTTACCTCTGTTTTATTCGGATGAAAAAAGTTAAAGTTGTCAAATCTTTTTTCCCATCTTTGACCCATCTCAAAATGTTCTTTTCTTCCCGAACTAAGGATTATTGAATATTATTTTTATTTTTATTTTCGTATTTTTCGTTTGATTAGCTAAAAAAGGATCTAACATCCTGTCCTGTCTAATGAAGAGCGAAAATATATGTCTTAATAAGTAATTTTAAGAAAAGTTCGAAGTAACATAAACTGTTACTCACTGAAATTACCAAACTTATTAAACTGAAGGCTGTATAGTTTATATTGCATAAATCTTTAATAAATTCATGAATTCAATTCAATTTAATGTTCTCGTGAATGGATGCCAAATACTGAAGTTTCGCATTTATTGAATTGTTTTATCTTTTGCTGGATAAATATGTTAAGAGACTGCATAAGAGTAATTTCAAGTGACCCTCCATGCAAAGATTGTAATGCATGATTCAAAACACTATCCCTCAAACCTGTATCGGATTTATAATATTAAAGCTATTATATTTTCCAAGGTTTAAAAAAGTGCTTATTTCTGATAATAACCTATATGTTTTCCTGCAGCAGAAAAGCGCATTTCATTTTCGGAGAGAAAATCCAATTAAAAATCAGTTATCTTAATTGTAAACATTGATTTCTAATACAGGTTATCCCACGAAACATGACAGTTGGTGAATAGTTTTGAATGTCTTCTTCCATTTACTGCATAAGATATTGAGGACTTTTTTGTGCAGTTTACTTTGTTAAAAAGTCTTTTTCTAAAATATATTTTACTTTTAAATCAATCTTTCTATAATACGATTGTCATATACTAATTCTTATTAGCCTCTGTACTATCAAACAGCTTAAAGAATCATGGAAGAAGACATTTCAAACTATTCGCCAAATGTCATGTTTCGTAGGACACCCTGTACCTACTTGATCTAACAAAGCTGTTTTAAAGTAACCGTTGTGATTACAAACTTAAATTACGCTTGTACAGTCCCTTTAAGTCTCACGTCGTGATAAGTTTATCATCCTCTGGTGTTGGGAGAAGAGTCCAATTCTTAAGTTGCAGAATTATTTCAGAACTCAAGTTCCCTTTCCCATCATTCCAGGCTGCAATCATCTCATCCCTAGAGGAAACTCAGCTTGGAACTTTTGAATGAAAAAGTTAAGACTTTTATCCTCATGTACGGATTATTAATAAAAAAGGAGAATCCAAGGATATTTACTAAACAAAAATGTTATCTTCGGAAGGGTTTAGCAATTTTATGCAATAAAGAGAGAGACCGGCTTTGCAACACATTTGAACTGAAAATGACTTTACGATCTTATTTAAAAATTTTACACCATTGGTATCAAATGAATCTTAAGTTTTTCTCTACAATCCTGCACTTTTAGCTCAAATATGTTACTAAGTCGGTCTCTCCCTTTAATCCCTTGTAGTTGATTTGATATAGCTTGCACTGTGAATATCGAGATTAGTCTTCAAGGATTAACGCTATTCCAACGGACAAGTTTCAACCTCAGGCCAAATCATCGATTTTCAAATGATTTGAAGAAAATTTTGTATTTAAGAAAAATTTTACCACTTAAACTATGGTATTTAAGTCCATATTAGATAAATAAACAATTCATGAAAAGCAATTAATACAAAATATAGTGAAAAATATTCAAAATGTAGAAAGGTTTTTTGGTTGTTTTAAAATTTACCTTAAACGTGACAAATTATCTCTCATATTCTCGATATCGTCTTTGCCCGGATACCTGCATAAACAGTTTTTTTTTGAAAAGTATTAAAAATTGTTTTTCTAGTTTAACATTTAACAATCTTTCATAAAAACCTATTAATTTCTTGAATATCATTATTGAAGTAAAAAAAAAAACTTTTCTAAACGCAAAAGTTTGTAAATGCAAGAAAATGAAATATCTAAACGTTTTTGAGATTTATCGTATTTTCGCTGACTTAAAAAAGCTATAACCATTTTTAAACTTATGTTTTTTAATACAATAATATGTGCTATTATGATGCTATAATGCTGAAAACTAGTGACTTCAATATAACCTATATACCTTGTTCCATGTCTAGCTAGGTGCCAAAACATTACAGGGGAACAACCAGGGGGTGTTGGAATACTGTAGAAAAAAACATTTATTGTTTATTAATTTTCTTTAAAACATTACAGAGGGGCAGGGGGGGGGGAGTAAAAAAATAATGTCTGTAGTTTTTTTATGTTAGAATAAAGACTGGGTGTTATGGACTTTTTAAACAATATTTTTCAGTTTTAATTTAAATTCTTTTGATGTTTTGTGAAAAAATATGATTTCTAATACCACTCTTCCTTGAATTCAGGATTCTGAGAGAATCCATAATAGTAATTATGTTTCATTATTTTACTATCATTTCGAAATATTTTTAATAAAACAAATCCTAGAATTTAAATTTATTTAAATTTTAAACATCTGAGCTGAGAACTTTAGAATGGATAAACTTTAATCCTGACTTCTTGATCCGAATATCCACTGTGGAAACTTTTCATTTTTGTCCTTAATCCAATCTTTTTCTCTCTTCTTGGATATCCGTTAATTGTTTTCTCCAATGAGAATATTTCTGTTCTCTCATTGGTTGCCCGCTTTTCTCTGATTGGCTGCTACAGTTTCTCAGATGATTAAATATTAATTTGAATTTTATCGTTTTTCATACACTTTTAAGATAATCTTGCAAGATTATGTTAATCTTGAGATTATCAAAAAGAGAGGATCAAGCATTAATCCCGATATCCACCATTCTAAAGTTTTCAGCTCTGGTGTTCCCCGTCATATTGGTTTGAGTAAAAAGGGCATATAGTGTCACCCTTAATACTGTGGAATAGGAAGAAGACATGTAATAAATCTGATGTGGATTTGCTGTTGTTATTGCAGCGAATAGGAGGTTTAGGTGAAAATCAACTTATCAAGTGAAATTGGTCTGTGGAATTTGCACAATTGCTGTTCAACGGGCTATTTAAAGTCATAAATTGAATCTAACAGTCGTCTTCCTATATTCCACAGATGCGCAATTATCATATGCTTGGAAATATCTGAAATATCTAAGAAATATGAAATTTTTAATCAATCCATTATGATTTGGTACACCCTGTATATTTAGAACCTTGTGTTCTGGTTAGCAACAGGAAAATACGAGGTTTTAGTTCCAAATATTACTCCGCCATTTTCCTCCAAACTAAATTGAAATCCAAACTTTTGAATATTTAAGGAATTATTCAAGAGATATTTAGGAGAGAGTCAGATAGTAATGTTTATAGTTTTGAATCGGTTTTTAAAATAAAACAATAACACTTCCAAGAGTTTAAAACTGTATTTTGTTAAAGTTTGACTTTATTGAATTTTATTAAATCTTTATTCAAGAATAAAACTTTGAAAACGATTCAAAAGCGATCGTTTTAACAAATCGTTCGTTTTTGTATCATTTTTGGATTTTTTTTGAAAGAAATTAAGGCAAAAAACGACCCAACTAGATCGGCAGGGAAAAAAATAAATAACAAAAAAACGATAGAACAGTGCAGTGCTTGGGTTACTTTATATTAGGACCTGGACTTAGTTTCTGTTTCACAGTATTTAAGTGTGGTGCAAAATAAATAAATTTCCGGATTTTTTTAACAATTTTAATTGGGTTTAATCCTTGCTGCTTTGCAAGCCCATGTAGAGAGCTCAAGTATGAGAATCAGACCATTCATCATAATCTGGAGGGATTTTTAGATTTGTAGATTTTCTGAAAGAAAGAGAACATTTCAAAGAAAAAATAAGTAAGCATTATACAGTGAAACCCTTAATAACCAATACATCGTGAGAATTCATCAAATGTCGTATTCTTCACTGTTGCAGATATTTAAATTAAATGATTATATGTAACTCTTTAAAACTGTTCCCGCATATTCATGGCTATTTATTTATTTTCGGAAATACTGAAATTTACGAAATATAGTAAAGAGCGTCCCATATCATATTAGAATATCTCCAAGCTTTAACGCCAAAATAAAACCATTACTCAAAAAAAAACTATTATTTTCCGCAAGAAAATTCTTATTAGCCTTATTAAATTTTTTGAAGTGATTCATTCTTCCTAAATTTTCTGATTAGTCCCGAAAATCGTAATTTAGACCGATTGACGATCTAATATGATGCGGGACACCCTGTATAAAATTGTCAAGACGACATTTGATAAATTCTTCCGATGTATTCGTTATTAAGGGTTTCACTGTAGTTTAATACGTTCAGCCACTTAGCAAGGAAAAAATACCTCATTTCACCCATAAACAAATGCTTGCAATTTAAGCCAACTATTTAGAAAAGGAATTGAGTTTTTGCCACAAACTCGAATCTTTTGATCGCACTATCTTGGCAACCCGATGGTGCAAACCTTTGATATTTCAAATCTAGATTATTTTATCTACAAGTATTAATAGTTTGAAATATCCAAGGTCTACGACATTAGGTTACAAAGATATAGAGATTAAAAATCAGAGTTTGTGGCAAAAACTCAACTCCTTTAGGATAAAAAATATTTATGTTTAATTCGACAATTTTGTAAAGGTAACCGATTTTTTTGATTGCCTGATGTTTTCTCAATTTAGAGAACTGTGAAATCCAATATAGCATAAAATTTTGCGTTTTTTTCTTTTATTTGCTGTTTAAATTACTAAAATCGCTGGAATAGGTTAGCAGTAACTCTCAACTTTCCCCCCCCCCCCTTCTCCTGATGGACCACTGTTTTATATGATTTAAACGTATTTAATATTAATCTCTAGTTGCTTAGATGTCCAGTCAAAACTCGGGAACTACTAGACCGCATTGCCTTAAATTTTAATTCAAAAATTCGGCAGAACCACGGGAATGTTCTTAGTCTGGTTAAAAATTTCACAGTGGAGCTGAATGAGCTGAATAGAGAAAGTTTAGTTTCCATGTAAAGCTGAGTTGTGTAGAAATACAAATCTTTTTTTCACTTTTACTTGTGAACTAATTCTTGTGATCCTGTACAGTGTAGGTATAATCTAGTTAAACTTGTTTATATCAAGAATATATCCTAGTATCTATATATTCTATATATATGTATATCAGATATATCTTTTATATTTATATTATCAGTTTATGTATCTATATATTCTATATATGTATATCAGATATATCTTTATATATATCTATATTATCAGTTTATGTATCTCAGTATACATCTTCATTGGCCTTTAACACAAAGAGTGTTCCAGGAATGGAACATTCTTCAAATGAACACAATTTCTAAACCCTATTCCTTTAGCTTTGCAACCAAATGGTATAAACTATTTTTTGTGATTGCTCAAACTCCTTGACTCCCCCAATTTAAAAATTGAAAACAATTTAAGTGAAATTGAAAAAATCTTTTTTTCTAAATAAAATGAACTATGGGTCTAAAATTAAGATATTTGAAAAGCCTTTGAAATAAAGATATGAAATAATTTGTAGCATGCTAATATTTTTCAAAATCAATACGATTTTTACCTTTAACGGACTTACTATTTGAAAGTTTTTAGCTGTCAATTTTCAAAAATTAGTAGGTCTTGAAAGGTTGAACTACACTAACATATTACAACTATAAGGGAAAAATCATAAAGGAAGGGGGGGGGGTGTTAGTCCCCCCTCCCCCTCAATATTAGGCAACTACAATACCAACGCAGGATAGGGTAAACTTGTGAAAGCGAGTAGAATATACATTTTTTTTTAAAAAGTGACAAAATATTCCTACCACAGTTCCTTAGTTTAACTGGTAAACTTTAATATAGTGTCAGTTTTTTAACATTCTTTTCTTATTTGTTTAAGATATCAAATTAGAAATTTGATTTATTTAAAACTAAGGAAAGTAGGGACGCTTCAACTCAAGTTGTATCATGATTAAATCCTCAACCAAAAATGTAAAAAAAAAAATTTAATTAAATTATCTTTTTAATTGTTTCTTTTTCATTATGGTAATAACAAATTTGAGCAACAAAAATTATATAAATTTGAGCTTTGACGCTTATTCTATCTTAAATCTTCGATTCGAGGTTTAAAAATGGTGATTTGGGATTTGAACCGACTGTAGAAAGAGAAAATAGAAATTAGAAAAAAGTCAATTTTCTGCATAGCAGTTGGCAGCATGCAAATGATTTCACTTTGAAATATAATTATAAATATTATCTTTATCGTAAACAGATCATATGAGTCTTATATTTTTATTTTGAAGTTCATTCATTTTCTTGATCTGCAATTTACGTTTGAACATCGAGAGGTTTTCGAATATTTGACATATAGAAAACAAATAGCTAAGCAGCAGAAGGTAAAAAAATTAAAAATGAACCCTTTTAAGATAAAAGAAGCAATACATGGGAGCAGAATTTCATGTATTTGAAAACGAATGATTAAGGTTTAAGAAGAACCCTAGTCTTGGTGTTTTTGGGTCATCCTGTATTTTATGTATCCAATTTTTCAAATGAAAAAAACTTTTAAAAGAGGTATACGAGCATGGAATCCATGTCTGCTGGAGTGAAATTACGTAGAAAGGGGCTCGGAAGTAATATTAGTGTGGCACAAGACAACAAGCCCTCCTCCCTCGCTTACTTTATCCAACTGGAAGATAATGCATGTTATCAAGTATCCAACTGATATGTAAGCGATCCATGTGAATATGCAAATACATGCATTTATCACGCTACACCATGCATAGATACTTATTTATCATGCTACACCCGCATAGATACTTATTTATCATGATACATAATCGCATAGGAACTGATGAGCATCGTTTTTCGAGCTTTGTTCCGAGACATTTAGGGTTTTTTTAGAGCTCCGTCTTGAGACATTTAGTGTTTTTCCGAGCTCCATTTTAAGACAATTTGGGGTTTTTTCGAGCTCTGTTTTGAGACATTTATGGGGTTTTCGAGCTCCGTTTAGAGACATTTAGGGTTCCGAGCTCCGTTTAAATACATTAAGGGGTTTTTCGAACTCCGTTTTGAGACATTTAGGGGTTTCTCATGCTCCGTTTGGAGACATTTAAGGGTTTTTAGAACTCCGTTTTGAGACATTTAAGGGTTTTTTGAGCTCCGTTTTGAGACACTTAGGGGTTTTTCGAGCTCCATATAGAGACATAAATGGTTTCTGACGCTAAGAGCCCAACCAAAATTAGAGCTATTTAACACATTGCAAAATCGTATTCTTGGTAAGTTTGCTTTTATTGTAGTATGCCAAAAACCAAAGCAATTCTTTAAAACGGAAAACAAAAACAAAAATTTGAATACATTTTTTTTAAAAATCGTTTTGGAGAATATCTATGGCCAGAAAAAATGTTTACATAATGAAACAAAAGCAACATTGTCATAGCATAAATTTTAAAATAGGATTTACATCTCATGCATGGAGCCTCTCAAATAAAAGTCTAAAAACGATCCTGAAAACGAAGCCAATTAACATGTTTCTTAAGTAAAACTTAATAAAGATTTAAGATTGTTGTAATTGAGTTAGTTCTAAGACGTGTGAACATTATTACCAGAAAGTGAAAAATTGGTGTGGGACATTTCATAGAAAGACATTTCATACATGGACATTTCATAAATTGACATTTCAAAGATTGACACTTCAAAAATATGACATTTAGTAGATTGACATTTCAAAAATAGGACATTTTATAGGTTGAAATTTCAAAAATAGGACATTTCATAGATTGACATTTCAAAAATAGGACATTTAATTGAATAACATTTCAAAAATAGGAAATTTTATAGACAGGTCACCTATCTATTAAATTGCTTATCTGTATTTAAAATATCCCATCTGCGTCCAAAGATTTTTTTCTATGAAATGTCCAAACACCAATTTTACAACATAAAATTTACAATTGACTTGAATACTATAGATATGGGCCGCAAAGTGAATAAATACTAAAGTGGAACAGACTAAGGCAACGACGATAGGTTGGGCCATAAGGTTTATTTGGTTTGGAAATAATTGCATGAAAAGATTTTTTTAAAAGTAAAGACTAGAAAAAATAGATTATAAGACCCATGTAAATGTCGTCTTCAGATAGAACTTCAAAATTTTCATAAATAAAACTGAAAATTTTTTGCATGTTTGTACGTAGTTTCTATGAAAATATTATAAAGTCGCTTAATCAATTCATTAATTTTGCCTGGCACTTCTAATTCTATGGGAATTTATCTTTAAAACAATTCTTATTTTTGATCTCACTCCATTCCGAAATATGTTTGTAAATTTCTTAAACACATCTATGTTATTATCCAGAGGCGTATTCAGGGAGGGCTCATACCCCTCCTGAATCAGTGAAATATATGTTTTATAGAATTTTCAAGACGACATTTGATAAATTCTTCCGATGTATTCTTTATTAAGGGTTTCACTGTAGATATATATATATATATATATATATATATTATTTTTAAATACTTGGGACATCAAATGTCGTCATCCAACTATGAGTTTGGCCCACTTTAGTATTTGATCACTTTTTATGGGCCGGGGGTTGGTTGCAGACAATGGAAATGACTTTGATACAATTATATCTTATCATATACCCAGGGTATTTTTAAATGTGGTCTGTCAATTTTGTACCCTTAAATTACTAAAATCTTAAAAAAGTTTTTGAGATTTTTTTTTACTAATCCTACATCATTAGAGCCTGGTGGTTTAAACCTTTGATGTTTTAAACTTAGATTATTTTATATAACAAAATTTATATTTATAAATATCAAAGATCTCCGACAATGGGTTGCAAAGATGTAGGAATTAGAAAATCAGGTTTACAAAAATTCTAAAAACCTTTAAATTTCCCCTCTTTAGAGATAAAAGGATGTCCTTGAAAAACAAAGAAACACACCTATTGAAAATATACAGAAGAATTCATGGTACAGTGAGACCAGTACAAATTGGGATAGAAAGACGACATTTAAGTAATTTCCTGTCTAGCTGAAGGTTTCACACAGCAGATAATTTCAATAATATTATTAATAATAACTTGAAAATCAATAGAGAAATTGGTCAGTTGAGATTATTTACATCACTTAACTGCAGAAACAACAGTATTAAACAGTAAACTTAAAACTTTCTTTAAACTCAATTCCGTATTTTCTTGTCAATTCTATTCTTTCTTTCCGATTATTTTGAAATGATGTTTACCCTCGAATTTATAATTAAAATCTTAAAACTCAATAAGAAAATGAACATGGTAATGTAGTCGGTTTGTGTCAAGGGATATAACAGATACTCCCAGAAATTAAGCGTAATACAGTTTTTGGGAGTCGAATGTAAACACACGCAGTGCTGACCCAGGCTAGGCTGTGTTTACATTCCTCCCGTGATGTTATAAGTCAAGGTTAAATGCAAGGAAAGTTATTTCAGAGGTGTACGCGTCTTTTGTACTGCAGTGTACTGTCTCTGGGCGGTAATGTAAACACAAGACGGATGTCAAAGCATGACAATGGGATCCATCCTTCTTTAACATAAAAAATCAATAAAATATTCTGGTCATAGGAAACTATTATGTGAATTATCAAAATTATTAAAATTTAATGCTTCTAACCTCCTCGGATACTAAACGAACACTGATGCATCTATTCTTGTTTACAAATTCCGCCCAGAGAGAACTGGTTTCAATATGTACGCAGAGCAGCGGCGCAACTAGGCCTTTTCTGAGGGGGGGGCGAAATCTGAAAGTTATTAGGGGGGGTAACGGGGGGGCTAGCCCCCC